ATTTTTGTGAATTTCTAGTTAGCGTTCAGCATTTTTTGTGTACGATGCTGGCGTAAGTGGAACCGTACACATTCAGTTGGTTGTGAAAGGGGGCTATTTTTAGATGAGCACATTAGCTGGTTAAGCTAGTGGGAGCTTGCGCCATGGGGAAGTGCAAGTTTAATGGTAACAGGATGGCTTCGCGACGTGGTTAGCACCGGTTCCAGGTAATAGCTGGAAATTATAGCTTAAATTTGGTCAACGTGGCCTTAAACAAGGTCTTAAAAAGTCTTAAATTTGGCTCCCTTAAACCTGCAGATACCCTGCAGAGAAGAACAATCAATCAGTGAAACGACAAACAAAGGCATAAAAGTCACCAGCTAAAGAACAAGCTGTAAAAGCGAGTCTTTAAACGAAATTTTCAACTGGAGAGACGGAGCCTCTTGAAGTGACTTCCAGAGTGAAGGGGCGGCATACACCAAAAGCCCGTTCCCACCGCCATTTATATCTCATCAAAGTGTGGAGAGCAGCAGAAGATCAGCAGACTTCAGCGCATACATGGGGACATAAGAGGCGAGCAGCTCAGACAGGTGAGGTGGTGCCAGGCCATTGAGAGCATTAAACATAAAGATCAGGACCTTAAATCGTACCCTAAAGGTCACAGGAAACCAGTAAAGCTGCGCCAGCATCGGAGTAAAAGGATCGTGGCAGCTGGTGCTTGACAGGAACCTGGCAGCAGCATTCTGGACAACCTGCAGCTCGCTGAGGGCCCAGACAAGTCCCAATAAGAAGTGCATTGACAAAAGTGGGAGGTTATGAAGGCACGAAAAACTGATTCCTCCGTTTTAGGAATAGCTTTAAGCACCTTACTCGATGCAGCTGGACGAAGCATGATTTGACCACTGGATTTATTTGAGAGACCGACGTCCAGTTTTACTCCAAGGCTTGTCACACATTGCTTAAAACCGAGAACAGGAAGGTTATAGGAAGAATGAGTATGGGAGATGTTCCGCGGATCAAAAAGTACTGCCTTCGTCTCGGAGTGAAACCAACTTAGGGCAGTACCCGCCAACCCCACCCGGGACTCCAGACATAACAACAGAACGCCATGATCCACCGTATGGAAAGCCTCAGCGAGGAGCTGTTGTGGAATGGCCAGGCTCCCTGCGGGTTTTCACCGGTCAGAGTCCGGAGCAGTCCTCTCTGGCTAGACTTGAGCCTTGAGCCAATCGTTTTAGAGTTTGTAATTTGACACCAACTGGCAAAAAGCGTTAGAGTTGCAAGTTAGCCAGTAAAAGGAAAGATCCAGAAGTTATTTCTTGTACCACTAAGAAGCCGCAGCATCTTTTCTTTTACTCTAACATAGAGGCTAACGTTGAGCTAACAATGCTAACGGTGAATTAGAAGAAATTGCCTGCTCTGAAAATGTCTCAAACCACTTTTTCAGTTACCATCAGCTTAATATTATTTATCTACTCATTACCTTACTGTGTATGAGTCATCTTCGCCCATCTAGAATGTTCTACTGCTGATCCGTAGCGGGTAACAGGATGCTATTCCTTCATGCACCTTTAAGTAAAGAATGGGTTACATTTGGTGGAGGAAAGCTAACGTTTTCACTTAGTCGCTTTAGCTTCCTGTCATGGACTGTTTTTGTTGTTTAAAGGGGCATTATGGAAGTGTGACAGCCAAAACATGTATAGAAATAATAAATGTCTTCTTCATACATTCTCCTGCAATGCCCTGGTCCTGTAGAATGAGCCCTGGCATTTTTACTGTGATTGCCTGTTTTTCTGTAAAATCACAGAAAAAGAGAGATGCTCGGGTCGAGCAGGCTGCTTCATGCGCGTTCACGCTCAGGCATCGCCCGTAGCATTTGCTATCCGTAGCTTTAGCAGCAGAGAGAGAGGCAGTGCCACTTTGTCGCTGTTCCTAACGCCTAGTGACAAAGCTAGCTACATTTCTGAGGACCCTTAGCTACTTTCTGTAGAACTTTCTTCTAGATATTTCCTGCTAATTAGCAACAAAATAGCCGTTTTCACTCCGAACCGTTCTTTGGTTTGACGTTGTTTCAGCTGTCATCAAGGATATAAAAGTTACAGACACTGTGAATGTTACTGGTGTGTAGCTCACCTAGTAAGATGTCTGACTCTCATGCAAATGACTTGGGTTCGATTCTGGATGTGAACATAGTTTATTTAGAGTTTCTTTTTTACATTAATGGTATATTTTTTACAGTAAGATGCCCAAATTTTTATTTGAGACTCGCCGAACGGCATTGAATTCACAGATAAAAAAGATGTGGGTTCAACTTTCATTTTGGAACAATTTTTCAAGCAAGGGAAGGGAATGATCTGAGCATGCAGGAGGACTGACCCATCATAAACCTTTGTCGGCTGTGCTGAAGAGAAAGGTACAGAACCACATTATTTAATTAATTAGCTGCACGTTCTCCTGTCCTCCGTCCTCCGGGCCCCACACACACACACACACACACACACACACACACACACACACACACACACACACACACACACACACACACACACACACGGGACTGTCTCAGCTGTTATTTTTGTTAAGGAGTGTGCACGTACAATATGCGTGCCTCGTGCACGAGCCTACTATTGAAGCTGCCGTTACGCTTTTGGCCTGAGGGGGCAATCGCGAGCATAAAAATTCAAAAGTCCGTAAAGTCCCTTTAAAGATTAAAATAATAATAATGCATTGAACTTATATAGCGCTTGTTTAGGACACTCAAAGACGCTTCCATGCATTCTCACATTCACACACTGCCAGTGATGGTGAGCTACATTGTAGCCACAGCCGCCCTGGGGCCACCCAACACAGGCAAGTTGGGTGAAGTGTCTTGCCCAAGGACACAACAGCAGAATACCCCTGGTGGGAGCTGGAATCGAACCCACAACCCTCTGATCATGAGGCAACCCGCTCTACCTCCTGAGCTACTGCTGCCCCAAAATACATTTTTAAATGTCTGTATTAATACTTTTTAAACTTGTTTCCTGTTATTTTCTGCTTTGTTACTCCAGCCGCGTCTGTATTGCTTTCATCAGTTATGTTACCATCTGTAATACTCTATGTTTTCAGGCCAAGGCGCCTCTGATGTGAGACTCCAACCTTCTGCTTCAAAGACCAACAGAGGCACCGGGACGGCTCTTTCCAAACAGTCTCCAAAGAAATTAGGACCGTCTCCACAAACATCTCCGCAGAAACAGTTGACTCTGACCGGTTTCTTTCAGCCGTTCAAAAAGAAAAGGTAACGATTCATCCGAATGCAAAGATGTTTCTACGTCCACAAGGGCTCCTAAGTATAGATCTGTTCACCGTAGATCTGTTCACTGTAGATCTGTTCACCGTAGATCTGTTCACTGTAGATCTGTTCACCGTAGATCTGTTCACTGTAGATCTGTTCACCGTAGATCTGTTCACTGTAGATCTGTTCACTGTAGATCTGTTCACCGTAGATCTGTTCACCGTAGATCTGTTCACTGTAGATCTGTTCACCGTAGATCTGTTCACTGTAGATCTGTTCACCGTAGATCTGTTCACTGTACATTAGGGATGTGAATCTTAGAGCAACTCACGATTTGATTCGATTCCAATTCTCGGGGTGCCGATTCGATTCAGAATCGATTCTCAATTTAAATCGATTCACAATCAGTATTACCAAAGAGTGTCCGCTCCAGGATGAACTACTTTGTTGTACAAGTTAGTTAAAGCTACGGACATTTTTATTAGACTTTAAACTGGTCATGCTCCAAAAATGCAAATTTACAAAGTAAACTAAAGTGATTCTAAAACTGTAAACAGAAACAATCTTTTGACCAAAAGGCAACATTTATTTTTGCTTACCTTGTAAAATATAACAAATCTGTAGTTACCTAACAGCAGCTTTGAAAGTAATATGGTCAAATACTTTTCTAGTTTGTGTAGAAACAAGTTACACGAGTAATCCTGAGTACTCATTTATCAACTTAGAAAATAAATATGAGAATCTCTCAAATTTCTGAGTATGGAAAAAACGACATTCATGCGCCCTCTTATCAGCAGATTCAAACATAAATCATCTCAGTTTATGGGAGCACAAAAGTAATCGGATTACTGACTCTCCTAACAAAGACCAAAAAAGTGCATCTCAAACCTGTAACGTGCCAAACATTTCAGTTCTTGGAATCGATTCTGAACCTTTGTGAATCGATTCTGCATCTTTATAAATAAGAATCCCGATTCAGACTTGAATCGATTTCTTTCAGCACCTCTACCGTACATATGTTGTATGAAGTTAGAAACTATAAAAATGGGATTATTGTTAAATGAAAAAGTTTTGGGAATCTGAGTGAAACAACATTGATGCCTGAATGAGATCACCAATAACCCGTTAATAAGCCGTTTGTTTTGGGGCCGTTCTGTGTGTTGCTGAAGGCCTCTGGAGGACGACCTCTCTGCAGCGACGCCCGGGCCCAAGCGACCCGCTCCAGAGTCATCCGTCACTGAGAAGAACTCCGCCACGGTTTCTGAAGAGATGCCCTCGCTCGCCCTCGGTAGCCCTCCTGCTGTGCCCGAGACTCTTCTGGAGTCGCACGCTGATTTGTTTGTCAGGCGATCCGAACCGCAGAGTCGCAAAAGGAAGGAGATGGGAGGAGCTATACAGATAGAAGAACTGGAGTCCATCATGTCCGAGGACATGGACGACTTCGACGACGTTCTCCCTGCTAGCCCGGTTCAGCAGGAGCAGCCGGCGCCGCAGAGGTCGGGCAAACAGAAGAAAAGCTGCGATTTAGCCGAGTCTTCAAGTAAGAAGCAGCGGGTCAGCGTAGATGAGCGCCGACCGAGCAGACCGAGGCCACGGGTGGACCTGAAGAAGGAGTCAGGCTTCCTACAGAACCAGGGAGAACGAGCCGAGCTGCACATTGACTCGGTTAAAACGGAACCGCTAACGTCTGCTGCCTGCTCCAATCCAAACGCAGAGCCGTCAGAAGAGGAAGATGCGTCTTTTATAGAGGTGAGGAGGACTTTCTCTGATGAGAGCCATGTTTATGGGAATCCAGTTGTTTTTCATCTGATTGAGTTGTGATTTGTGTTTGTCCTGCAGGATGTAGAGCTGCTCCGAGTGGATCTTTCTCAGCTGGAAGATGAAAGTAAACCACCTATAAAACCTGTCAAAATCAAGCAGGAGGCTGAGGTGAACTCCTATTTGTGGCTTTTGTCTGTTTTTGGACCCTGAGCTTAGATCCTGGTGTCATAAAGCTGGTTCTTACTGGCTCTGTTACAGGTCAGCGTACCTGCAGGGTCTTAAACAGATTTAAGGAAAATTAGGACCCGTAAAAAGTCTTAAGTTGATTTAGTAAAGTCTTAAATTTGGTTAGTACTGATGTGGATTTAAAACTTGTTGCTTTTCGCAGAAAATTACCATTTTTGAAGCCAAAAATGACGTCCGTGTGAATCTTGAATTTTTTTCTGGAGGAGGGGTTTTGGTCGGGTTTCAGTCGCTGTAGAGCAACCCGTCCCAGATCGGGATAGATGTCCAGGTTAGAGCTCGCACATGACATCACGCCACCTCCCGGCCAGTCAGCATCCATTAAAAAAGCATCCTGTCAAAAGGTCTTTATGGACGATACCAGATGTTGATCCATCAGCTGGCGTATGGTTAACTGTAGCGATGTTGTTACACCTGCTGTCAAAGTTCACAGAGAAAATAGTTTTTACTTGTTTGGTTTTGTTTTTTTTACGTGATCAGCCACTCTGAATTTAACGTGCAGGCTAGCCTTCGTTTCCTGCACTAGCTGCTGATAATAGAAACTCTAGGATTAGAAAATCCTGACAGATCTACGTCACCCTGTCACTAACATTCATGGACTCACCCATCTGGACTCACGACGGGGAAGGCTGTTGTTGGTTCAGCGTCCAGGAAACAGCAGAGAACGTCTCGGCTAGTAGAAGCTAAGCGTTAGCATTAGCTACCCCACCACACAGCTGAACACCTCCAGGCTTGTGTTATTAGTGGAGATGAAACAGAGTCAGTGGTAGAGTCGTGTTGCTGTTAGCCAATCAGAGGAGAGATATCCGAATATCAGGAAATAAGACTTCAGATCGTGCTGTGTTCTGCTCCTTTCTGCTTTGGCTAACTTGTGCTTCCTGAAATAGGAGCACCAGAGCTTTTTTCCCACTGAGATGGTCTCCTAAGGCAGGAAGTTGTACTGGAGACCACTGCAGCTGCGTGAATGAGAGCTTTAAGGGATTGTTTATGTTGTTCAGGAATCAAAGATGGATGAAGGCCTTCCTAAGAAGCTGGTGCTGGTGGAGTTCAGATCGCTCACACTGACGCCTCCAACTACGTCCAAACCAAAACGCTCCCAGGAGAACGGGCATGTCAGGAACTTCAAACGTTTCCACAAGGTCTGAACGCAACAAAACCGCTCAGCAGAGGCTCTTTAAAGACGTTTTACAGCACTTATCTTCAAATAATATTAATGCAAACAGCTTAAAATCTGCTCATTTGTTTTATTATTAGAATAAATAATGACATTTTTGGTGTGTGTGTGTGTGTGTGTGTGTGATAGAACCACGTTCCAGGTCTAGATGGTTTCCCACACATCATTGGAGGCTCTGATCTGCTGGTTCACAACAGAGGCAAAAACTCTGATCTGGACGAGTGGCTGAAAGATGCAGCAGAGGTATCGTCTGAGTTGTTTTATACTCTCCTTCTCATCAGAGCTCTGTGGTTTTAAATAGTTTATTCTGTTTTCAGGAGGAGCGTCAGAACAAGCAGGACGAGACTGCCGGAGATGATCTGTTCAGGTGAGAATCTGGAGCTTGTTGTTTGTTTTTTCTTTGAATACGTAACACGATGGGACTTTGTTCCTTCAGTGTCCTAAAATAGTTGGATAAAAGCTCGCCAAGCCCAGCCTGATCCATTACAGCGAGGTGTTTACATTCACTTGAGAACAGACGTGCGGCCACTCTTAACCAATCAGAACCCAGGAGTATTTTCCTTCACAGCAGTTGTCAGGGAAACGGTGGTGATGCAAGCTTGAGCTGCCGTGTTGTATTTGACTAAGCAGTGTGTGTGTGTGTGTGTGTGTGTGTGTGTGTGTGTGTGCGTGTGTGTGTGTTGTGGCTGAGGTGTTTGATCACTGAGTCATGCGCAGCCGGTCGAACATCACTTGTAGGGGGGGCGACTCTGCTGCTAAGAAAAGAATCCAGATAGGGGTTATTTTTTTTTTTTGGTACCTGAACGTGTTTCCAGACGTGGTCGGTGGGAAGCCTGTTTGCTCTGAGCGGATGAAACGTCATCCGTGCTTTACGGTGCTTAATTTGAGAGCTGTTGGAAAATGCCGTGAGCACACTGGGAGGTGGTCCAGGAGGAATGTTAAAAGCCCATCTGGACGTGGACAGATGTCTGAGGTGCTCTCTCGTCTCCGTGTCCTCAGGTACAACCCCACCAAGCTCGCCAAGAGAAGATGAAGTCATCCCCAGATGGATTTGTGGATGTGATGATGCTCTTCTTTAACTCACTGACAGCAATGTAACAAATGAGCTTAAGTTAAGCAGATTTTGTCAAAGTTTTTTTTATTTGTTGTTAATAAAAATATTCCATAGAAAAGATTAAAACCTAGAGATTGTTTCACCCGCCTGCATGCTGAAAGCAGCTCTGGAAACCCACGTTGGTCCCTGCTTCCAGGGAAACTGGCTCAAGTGGGTTATGTTCCTTTTATTTTAAAGCAATCTCAATCCTTCAGGCACTTTTCTATTTCTGAAACAGAAGTGCAGTCATCAAACCACACGTCTGTTGGTCGTTCTGTGCAGACGCTGAAGCTCGGTTCTTCAAATTCAAGTTAAGATTAAACTCATCAGTTTAACTTGTGCAAGAAGAAACCTTTCGGATCGTCTGTAGAGTTAGCAAACTGGCTTTCAACATTTCAAAATGCAGAGAAACGATTGAGCAGCTAGCCTAAATCTGCACCAGTCTGTGTTCACGTATAATAAAAAATGCCATTAAAGCAGAACGTCTCAGCAGCTTTTATTTTGAAGTGAAAACTTTTCCACTGTTGAGCTCCTGTGCATTTGCCTTTTCCCACATTTCTCCTCGTAGCACTTTTCTTGTTGCTGATGACGCTGCCGTTGGCGGCTGCCGGCCCCGGGGCTCATGCCTACATGCATATAATCCACACTTTATATCTAAGCAGTATTAAAAACTCAGCAGGGAGGGGAAGAAACCTCAGGTGGTGTAACGGCTTAAATTCACCCGTTAAACTCTAATCAGGAAACCTAAACGACAATAATGGAAAAGTGTTGTGTTAGTTGTAATAAAAGATAAAACCACTGGGAGTGTTGAGACTGACAAAAAAGAGGATTTTTTTTTAAATCACATCACAGATTAGCAAAGTTTTGTATGTAAAAAAATAAAATTATGACATCCTATTTTTAGTCAACTCCTAAAACTTTTTTGGCACTTGACTTGTTTTTAACATGGTAGAAAAAAACTTTTAGTTAAACAATCAAAACAACTTATTGTGACCTGTTGTACAATAGTTACACACAATATTAATAATAAAACTATGAAATACAGAGACACTGAAATCTAAATGATTTTAAAAGACGTTAATAAATTATATTCTATGTGGGATTTTAAAGAGATTTTCATTAAATTAATTTAACTTTAAAAGTAAAGAAACCGTAACTTTCTTGTATTAAAGGTGTGGTTCACTGACAAAACATTTTTAGTGATCATTTCCGATTATAATGGGAGTGTTTCATGCAGACTGAACATGAAAATAGTCTCCTACACCTATCTCCTGCAGTAGCTTCTGATAGAAAACAGACGGTGAAACTCTAGGATTAGAAAATCCCGACAGATCTACGTCACCCTGTCACTAACATTCATGCACTCACCCATCTGGACTCACAACGGGGAAGGCTGTTGTTGGTTTAGCGTCCAGGAAACAGCAGAAAACGTCTCAGCTACGAGAAGCTAACTATTAGCATTAGCAACTCCACCACACAGCAGAACTCTTCCAGACTTGTGTTATTTGTGGAGACAAAACATCAACGTTGCAGAGCAGACAGAGTCGGTGGTAGAGTCGTGTTGCTGTTAGCCAGTCAGAGGAGAGATGTCCACATATCAGGAAGTAAGACAAAAACACACTTCCCTTGCACGATCCCGTCCAGGGATGCGAGTGTAGGATGTCCTGATTCTCAATTGTGAAAGTTGACCACACCCCATTTGCACCCTTGATCCATGAAGTGTATTACCCACAATCCTTTGCTACATGGAAATTTTGAGAAGAAGGTGAATGGCTCAAGTGCTTTTTCTGAAAATACATATTTTCAAATGAAAGACGTTCATTTTGGGATGATTAGTTATATTATTTCATGCTCTGGATGTTTTAGACTAAGGTTTAATGTGGACAGCAATGAATGTAAATGTAGTCAAACTAGAGTCAGTGACTTGATGCAATTTGCTGGGTTCCTTATATAAGAAACTTTTCTGATTAGCTTAATGAACTGAACTGTGTTGGAATGTTTACTACGTGAAGTGCCTTGAGACGACTCTTGTCATGATTTGGCGCTATATAAATAAACTTGAATTGAATTGAATTAATAAAAAGTAGCACAAACAGCGACCAGCATTCCCGTATGCATCACGGTCAGTTATGCAATGCTTCCTGTCCCAACTCGGCCCACTTGTGTACCACACACTCGAACCCTTACTGTGCACTTCTACCAAGTGCACTTGACAGAAAACCGTAGGGCGCAGCTCGAGTGTTGGGATTGGGCCTAAATCTGTGATGTGGGTCACCACTAGTTGCACTGGTATATTTTCCCCACCGAGTACGACCTGCAAGGCATTTGTTCCTACTAGAGACCACTGCAAGTGTAATGATAAAACAAGTGAACCGCACCTTTAACACAAATTTTGAAAAGATTAAAGTTAAATGGACATTTTAACAAATTCCACTGATTGTCTATAAAAATCACATTTAGGCACATCTCTATTGTCTCCTGTTGAAAATGAGCCAAAGATTTCTCAATTTGGGAGCAAACTCCCACCTAAAACTCGTAAAATTATTCTACAAATCTAAACGGTTCCTACAGGGTCTAACAAGTCTTTCACACACTATACAATAAACAATTGCCCTTTAAAAACCAGTAGTTTTTCTGAGCATACTTGGACCCAAACAGGAGTCTTGACATTGGATCTGAAAGAATACATTCAGGTTTGCGAGTGATGATGTTTGCATAGAAAGCCTGTTTAGTAACCAAATCACCAAAGCATTCGGTCAAATGAGCCAAACCTGGATTAGCAGCTTAGAAAAGATTTTCTAGAAGAGGCTCAGTTGGAGAGATGAAGTCATTTTGGTGGTGAATCTGTTGGATTTTAAATATACCTGTTTGCATTCGACACAACCGTGTGGTTATTTTAAACGGGATCACGTGTTTCAGTTGGTTTGGACTAGGGGTGCAATACCGATATTGGTACCGGTATCGATACCGATATTGGTGCAGATGCCGATTCCAGTATCTGTAAAGGTTAACCGATACCAATGCAGTTGCTTGAAAATGGCTTCGCTGTAACTTGTCATTTCTGTTCACCTAATATTTTAGTTTTGTGATGATTTCCATTCATATGTTTTACTTTTTATCTACCTCACAGTCTTTTCCTGTTGAAAGCAGAGCAGAAAATAAAATCTGTATTCCAAATCGTTGCATTTTTTTGTGCGGTAGAAGTATCGGTGATCAGTATCTGCAAGTACTCAGATCCCAGTATCGGTATCGTATCGGTCTGGAAAAAAGGGGCATCGTTGCATCCCTGGTTTTGACTCTTACGTTTAAATTAGGGAAAGCAACTTAAGTGAGTGTTGTTAGAAGAACTGTCGAAGACACAAGGTGAATGAATAATTAACCCTGATGAGAAGAAAGTCCCGTACGGTTACGAGGTCACTGACCGGCCGTTAAACATTGGCACGCAGTAGCTTAGACATAAGGAGACTTCATCGGAAGTCAGGCAAGACTAGCAGCTGTCTTTTGTTTCATTAGAAACTAGTTAGTGTACTCCCTCTCTCGTTTGGCTTCATAAACGTTGAAAACAAAGAAGCGTGTGTGATAAAACATTAATGATGAAAATTCAGCCTGTGTCCTGAGACCGGACCGTTTAGCTTCTTCAAATAAAGGTATTCCCTCCTTTGCTGATTAGCTTTTCTCTCTTCTTGAGTCTCGCCAGCAGACAGGAAGTGATCCCTAAAGCTCCGCCCTTTAAAAAGCGCACAAAGTTGTCTCCCACCAGCGGGCCCATGGCAAACAGGCCTGGCTCCTTGGTGCACTCAAAGGTGTACTGGTTGACGTCGATGGGGTTTTGCTTGCAGGAGATCGGCCTTGTTGGATCCTGACCTAGGTACTGACCCTGACCTTTCAAGAAAAACAAGTTTGGGTTGGTCCCAATCAGCACAAGGACCATGGAGACCTTGAACGCTTTGAGGGAGTTGTTGCCCTGCAGCAAACACTTCATGTCGGGCTGGAACGACACCACGCAGTGTTCTGGGAAACTGGTATAGTCGGGCAAGAGGCCGACACTGGCGCCTCCCGCGAGGTTCCCCGCAGAAAGTTGTGGTTTTGGGCACATCTTGGCACAAACGGAAGAGGCTATGCTTTCTGGCTGGGGTCCGTTTGGAGCAGCCATGTTTGTGTAGGTCTGAGAGCACATCATGTTGTACACTTTGTGGTATTCTGGGTACAGAGACTTGGGCAGCTGCTTAAAGATGAGGTCTGGGTTGTCCACACTCTTCCGAAAAACGTGCAGCACTCTTATGTTGCTGCTACAGGCGCACAGAACCGCATCTGCGGCGCTTAAACCAGCACCGATGATCAAAACCGGATCAGAGTTCCTGTCGAGCTTCCTCTGGCTGACAGCCAAGCCCAGGTTGGAGATGCTGTGGAAAACAAACGGAAGATCCTCCCCCTCGACACCTAAGCGAACTGGTGAATCAGACGCACCCGTGGCTAGGACAACATTCTCAGCAAACAGAGAGAAGGGAACGTGAGTTTTGTTCTGCACCTGCCGATATCCTCTTACTTCCCAAAGAGTGCCCCCTCCTCCGTTCTTCACGCACGCCTTTCCATTTCCCACAAAGCCCCCCTTACCCTCCTCTCCCGTCCCTCCATCTCCTTTGTCAGTGTGCCCATTTTCCAGATCTTCCGCCTTGTGCCCCCGGCAGAGTTTCTGAATGGAGGTCACGTAAGTGTTGTCAACAAAATTCTTTTGGAGACCCTTCAGCTTCACGTAGTCACGATAATAAGTCGAAATCTCCTCTGGGGTTGCTCTGTCACTCGTCACATCCCTAAAGAGACGAGAAGACGATGAGAAACCAGCGTGCAGACGTAAAAACCAGAAACATCTCTTTTGAGCTGCTTTTTAACCTGCGTTTCCCGTTTGTTAAGTCTCTGTAATTCACACCAGGAAGCTCCATCCAGATGCCAAGACTTATGGTCAGCATGGAGCCCTCCATGGCCTAAACAGGTAATAAACCATCACAGACGTGAGAACATATCTGGTAACCTCAAATGCAACCTGTTGCAGACTAAACTTTACAGCTTACATGCCAAGCTCCCCCCGGCGTCCCCTTTCCCAGAACCAGATGCGGGATGTGCTGCTGCTTGTCTCTCCTCCACTGAAGCACAGGAGGGAACTCGTAGCCAAAGTCGGCGTTGGGGTGCAGCAGCGTGTCAAACAGCACAGCCACAGGATTCCTTGACCTCCCTTCAAGACCTTCACTCAAATACTCCAAATCCTGCAACCCAATAAGAAAATGAACCCTTAGCGGCGTTTTTAGGTGAACTCTAGGCGAACTTGGAAGTGGTTTTACCTGCTCGGTGATGGCGAGATGCTTGGCCTCTTGCAGTTTTCTGTACAGAACCGAGTTTGGGTGGACAGTCGCAGGGTCTAGGTGGGGCATGTAGCCACTCAGCATGTAAGACAGACAAATACCGGATGGGCCGTTACCTAATAACAAACCAGGTTTGGGGAATGTAAGAAAAGCTTTCCAAGTTAAATAGAAATGGCCATTTTGAAACTTGGGGGGACAGTGCAGACCCGTCAAGCCATCAAAGGTGAGTTTACCTATGATTACCACGGGGAGGGTAGGGGGATGCTCTTGCGGCAGAGTGGTCCCTTCTAAAAGAGGCATGGCTGCAGCCTGGGCCAGGGCCGGCTCTGAGGATGGACACAACGACAGATGTGTGAAGAAAGTTCTAGAAACCTCTCTAGCCGTGCATCAGACATGACAGGCATGGTCTCGTTTGTGCTTTGCTCCTCTACTGTCTCCGTGCTCCTGGGTCAGACTGAACAGGATTAAACCCCAGTGTTGTTGTCTCAGCTAGCCTAAATCCTGTCTCCGTCACCAGCTGACTCAGAAACATACACACCGAGGGACGTTCGTGGTGGTGTTGTGCTTCCACCCACAGCCGCGACCCCCCTCCCGTCTGTCTGGGGCTTTCAGACACGTGGAAACACCCCGCCACAACACGATGAGCCCACAGATTTTATCACTGGTGCACCGCGGATGTACACACCCCCTCACTCGCCTCTGGTGACCCCGGCATCGCTCCCCCAAACAAAGGGAGTTCATGTTAGATTTGTGTAGGCGTGGGTTTGTTATGAGCGCTAATCCCACCAGGCCTGTTTATGTCTTTGCCGCCCTTGTCAGCGGCAGCAGGATGAGAATGTGGTCCTGGCACGGTGACAGGACCCAACCAGTCACACAAACTCCCACTCAAAAAAAAAAAAAGGAAGTAAAGAAATCCTCCACAAAGCAGAGTGACGGCCACTTCCTCGGCTGGCGCACCAGCCAGAGTGCATCTGTCTTGTGCTTCACTACTCGTGTACCTGCAGCTGGCCCTCCTCCTGTTGGACCCGAGTCTGTCGGACAACGACTCGCCTGTGTCGGCTTGTTTACACTTTTCAGTCGAAGCAATCGGATTCCACGCATAGCATGTCCCATTGGGAACGTGCCCCCAGTTGGCAGGACTGGCATTTCTATGCCACTGGTCACAATTAAAAACCTACTGGTTGAAAAAGATAACTGTTGTCACCTTTATACATTTCTTGAACAAACTTCCTGTTGGTTTACTCTTATTTCACCCGACCTGATGACAAGCTAACTGGTTCAAGTCAATTCAAGTTTATTTATGAAGCGCCAAATCACGACAAGAGTCGTCTCAAGGCACTTCACATAGTAAAACATTCCAATACAGGTCAGTTCATTAAGCCAATCAGAAAAAAGTTTCCTATGTAAGGAACCCAGCAAATTGATGCAATCCTCATACTAAGCAAGCATGCAGCGACAGTGGAGAGGAAAACTCTTTTAACAGGAAGAAACCTCCAGAGAATCCTGGCTCAGTATAATCACTCACACACACACACACACACACACACACACACACACACACACACACACGTAGTGTTTCTATGGTTACATTGTGATTTCTTAGTAAATATTCTATTTGGCGAGAGATAAACTTTATTGTATTTATCCTAGTGAATCGATAAAGTTAAAGTCCCATTAGTTGTCACACACACAGGTGTGTGTGCGAAATTTGTTCTCCGCATTTGACCCATCCCCTGGGGGAGCGGTGAGCTGCAGACACGGCCGCGCTCGGGAACCATTTGGTGGTGTAATCCCCCAATCCAACCCCCTTAATGCTGAGTGTCAAGCAGGGAGGCACTGGGTCCCATTTTTTCAAAGTCTTTGGTCTGACCCGATCAGGAATCGAACCCTGATCTCCCAGTCTCAGGGCGGACACGCTACCACTAGACCACTGAACTGGTAATTAAACAGGTAAACTAGTAGTAGCACATTCAATGTCAAAGAGAGTAAAATGTTAATATCAGGAGAGGGAGAATGTTTAAGTGGTCAAAATCATTTAAAACTGTTTTGTTAGCAAGAAATGTATCATGAAGCAGATGAATCTACATTTCACTGGCGGTCTCTTAGAGCCGTGTTCTTGGTCAAATGCTCTCTCTGGCTTTTGTTGGAAACCTGGTTATTTTTGTGGTGGAGGTGGAGGGGGTGGCCAGGCTAATCAAACACCCGTTTGCCCTGCGGTGTTGGAGAAGGAAATGATGCAACACTTGCTCTGTATGCATCGTGTTCTATTTTCACATATTTGGCATCAGAGATGTAAAGTTTTGAGGCTGCACGTAAACTTCCATCTATTCCATTACCTCATAGGAATGCTTTTATTTTACAAATATGAGGAATTTGTAAACATGACATCATTTCTGGGTGAAAACAACATTTTTAAGTTTATGTAAAAATGTTTTGAAACAAATGAAAGCCTAACAGAAAGGCCTGAATCCAAAGCATTGTTGTTTGTTGTTGTTTGTGTGTTTGTTTGCATTACAGCATATTGAAAGCCTTCCAGAACTCTCTGTGTTATGAACAGTAGGTGGAAATCCAAATAACACTTTTGTTTTGCAGTAAACTGATTTTGAGCTTATGGCCAAAAGTGTTTTCACTAATAAAATGAAAAAGGCTCCAGCTGGGTTTGTTCATTTTCTTCTGGCAGGCCTATGGCTACAGCTCATCCTGACCACCTGCAGATGCACGAGGATGAACTCAGAGCCTGACTGGGACACGGATCTTGTTCAGGTTAAGGATGCTGATGGAGCAGCTCCGCCAGCATCCTCTCTGACGCAGGCTTTAAACATCACTCTACTCCTGACTCCGTGCAGTGGAGCAACAAGGAGCACATGCTACAGCAGCTAGTTTCCATCACTGCATAATTTAGGTCACATTCATCTGCAACACTGTTCCGGGACCAGGAGCTCTTACCGTGCGGATCGGTCTCTCTGTCCCGCAGTCGCGTCCTGTTATCATGACCCTGGACTGCGTTTAAACCTTATAAATAGACCGGGAGCGGTGGGAGGACCCATCTAAATGTCTGAGCTCATCATGAGATAAAAGCCAGCCTCCCTTGTCCTCACACGCGCGCACACATGCACTCACCTGCCTCAAACTGGTGCGTTCAGGTCCGATCAGACGGGAAGATTCTGGTCAAGGAGGTTCTGTATTCTGTAAAAGCGCGTGCATCAAAGTCCTGCGTCTCCTGCTAGTCACATGCGTATCTCAGTGCGCGCGCGGGTGGCGCGTTCACGACAGCGCAGAGCGTCTCAGCATCCTCACAGCGCCGCCGACCCTGCTGGTGGGCTCGTCTGACAACATCTCACATCACGGTGGAAAAATAAAATAAAAAAGGCCCAAATCATTCCATTTCTGTTGAAAATATTTCATTAAGTATCTTTATCCCATTTCCTCCACACATTTGTCATGATCAGTATTTGTTGTTGTTTTTATTTATTACCTTACAGCATGTTTACCTTGTGATCTAGATCTCATACAACATCAGTGAACTGAACTGGGATGTTTACTGTGTGAAGTGCCTTGAGACGACTCTTGTCGTGATTTGGCTCTTTATAAATTAACTTTAATTGAATTTGGTCCTGTATAAATAAACTGAATTGAATCATAACATTTCCACTGGAGAACATGTCAAATGAAAATTTAAATTTAGCAAATTTCACTTAAAAACTACATTTAGGACTGGGTATGTGTTGCGTTCTGACACCAGCGGAGCGCAGCTGATATAAACAGAGGTGGTGTGGAGAGTTTGGGGAGTTCCTGAGAATTGCTGCCAGATATGTTCATGCTGGTAGAAGTAGTGTCATAAAATGGTGATGGTTGTGTGGCAATACGTGAGTGGTCTATGACCTGTTGACGCCAAGGATGGCAATTGTACCTGCTCGAGTGTGATTTTATTAACAACGCCACCTTGGGAATTTCACCCAAGGAATTAAACATATAGATTCAGTTCACTGGACAGTAGACGTGGTTTCAGAAGTTACAATAAGTGTGTTTTATTTTATAGAAGAGACAATTTAAAAGACACTTTAAAAACTGGCCATGTAAAATACCATAAAATACTAAAATTAATGCCCCAACAGGAACTGAACCAATGAAATGTATGGAGAACCAAATTAATTTTACTCACTGAAATCAATTCATGAGGTCCCAAAACAAAATGGGAATTAACTAAACACAATTCAACTACAAATTTAAATAAATAAAGAGGTTAACAAGCAGGACTGAGGCTAGTGATGGAGGCAGGTAACGCGGGCAGAGAAGCCCCAACACAAGAAAAATAATGAAGAACGTATAAAGAATTCACCCCTGGCAGTGATCATTCATATCAACGTGAGGAAACCAGCACCACCACACGCACACGGGACCACCACCTCCGAGGCCACACCCCACACCTCCTGCCCCAGCCTGCACAAAGAAACAAAAAAAGATTAAAAACGGTATAAAATGGGTACAATATAAATCAGCTGTTCTTCCTTCTGAACTCCGGCCACGAGCCAGGGAACATCCTTCAAACAGCTGATTTGAAATGTAGAAAAAGGAAACGAAACAAAACAGCGGCGCCTCCCACTGGACCACGGATAAATCGGTCCTCTCACCGATGACCCCTGAGTAGAAGGGAACTCCCTGCCCAGCAGCAACGGGGATTCAATCTTTCCCGTTTGCTAATGTTTTGTATAGCAAAGGCAAGCGATGATGTCACACCCAACACTGATTAATTGCCCAAGCACAGTTGGAGCAGAGCCGATCACCCAAAAAAAAACGCAGCCAAAGGACACGGGCTGGTAACACGTAGTGATATACTTAAAACCAGCTGTTTCCTGAAATGACTTCCTTGCCGGAGGAGCTCCCCTTTTATAGCCGGAGCGCCCTCCTACGTATGGAGGGCGTACTGTTCTAAACCAATAAACTTGGAGCAGGTATTTCGTACTGCTACAGTTGCCATAGGACCCAAATACAGGTTAGCAGGATCAGGAGGCAGGTAAAATAACTGTTTAATATGAATAATGGTATAGGTACCATTTCATGACTCTGCTGCAAAACCTGACAAGAAAAAAATGTTTGACTCCCTTAAAAACTTCAGTAATCTTTTGCCTCCATCGACATGCATTTTTTTCAACTGTCTGTCTAGATTTCTAGGATAGTAAAACTCTGCAGTGGTGTTAAAATTGTTTTTCTGCATTAGGTCTATATTGCTTTTTGTTGTTAGCTGTTATTCCAAGCACAAATTCTGACCTTCTAAATGAACGAGCAGATAAAAAGTAACTCAGCAAAAAACAATTCATTATTTGATTATTGAAGTGAGTGTTTCAAAGATTAGATAACTAATATGTCCTAAATATGTTTGCTAATAGATAAAAAGGGTAAAGCAGAAGTTTACAACAGCGATAGGCTTGAGTCAGGCTATATTTTCCATGTATTTACAAATCTGCAGCATTAGCTGGATAATTTTATAAAGTGGATAGCCTAGATTAAGATAAAGAAAAGCCGTTAGCACGGATGATCCGTTGGTTTAAGACTGCAAGGACAAAAATCATCTTTTCTGTGAATAAACAAAAACCACTCATGTTTTGTCTGGAAGTGACGAAGTTGTTTCGAGTAGCCAATGATAGAGGTTTATTCTCAAAAAAAGCCCGCCTCTCCCATCGCATCGACCAATCAGCGGAAAGAAAGGCTTCTCGTCCTTCTTTAGCCCACACAACACATGCATGCTAAAGCTAGCAGTGATGGCAGACAAGTAAAGTAGCCCGAAACGTCTTCTAACATGGTCCACATCGGTAGAATTTGCTTCCGGAAGGTAAATTATTATTTCTGCACATCAGTGAAGTCAAGTTACAAAGTGACAGAATGGTTTATAGATATTTGACTTTCAATGCTAAGATAGCGGTTAGCATAAGGATGACCGTGTAGTGAAATGTGTCAAAAATACCCCAAAACAACGTAATTGATTATTTTTACGAAATAGTTCTTGTGATTACTTTGTTAAAATATATTTTTCTGCAATAAAATGTTCAAAAGCGGTTAAAATCATCCTTTATAGAAAACTAATTAAACGGAATGGTGGGATAAAAATGAGCAATATCATCTAAAATAGATTAAAACAACTTGCTGTTTATATAACTGCGTTGTGGTTCTTTTTAACACAGCAAAAGTGTTATTTTTACTTATGTTTCAACTACCAGTGTAGCCCTCTTCAGAGTTTTGCCTTTGTTGACATCGAAACGTTAGTAGAAATAAGGCAAAAATACTTTTGCTGTGTTACAGTCACCAATTCTTGTCACGTGTCTTGCCCATGTATGTCTGATCTCTGAATTGTGTGTACTGAAACTCTAATTTCCCTCTGGGATTAATAAAGTATTGATTGATTGATTGATTAAAAAATAACCGTAATGCAACGCACAGTATGAATGTACAAGAAGTTGCTGTTTATATGTAAAATAATCAGATTCTATGGTCACTTTCTGCTTTTGCCGTGATTCTCGTGTCTGATGCCAATAAATGTTTAAAACATTTTGTTTTGCTACTTTAAATTTGGGTAAATCTATAAATACAAGAACATTCAAACTCCATCAATCAGATATTTATTTTACTACCTTCCAGTATGGAAACTTCATAGATAACCTCCGCCTTTATGTCCGAGGAGGATGTGGTGGAATGGGACTGCCTCGTCTCGGAGGACAAGGAGGCTGTGGAGGAAATGTTTGGGTGGTGGCTAAAAATAACACAAGTTTGAAGAAGATCAAGGATAAACACCCGCAGAAACGTTTCGTAGGCGGAACAGGAGGCAACAGCAGGTTTGTCTGCACTGATTTAAAATATCGGTGCTTACTTGTTGACATTCATGCATTTAAATTTTCCTGAAAGGGTCAGAAGAGTTTAACTTTTGTTCTTCGACAGTGTTCGAGCATTGAAGGGTGAGAAAGGAAAGGACATTGAAATCGTGGCTCCTGCGGGAATCACCGTCACCGCCGATGATGGCAGCGTTATTGGTATGTAAAAAATCATTTCTTCCTTATTCTTAACACTGTAAACTTTATGTTCTCAACCCTGTTCCTACAAGGTGACCTGAATGTGGAGGGCGATCGTGTCTTGGTGGCCAAAGGAGGATCTGGTGGTACTTTCTACTCGTCATTTGAGCCTGAGAAAGGCCAGGTCAAACACATCCGGCTGGACCTCAAACTTATTGCTGATTTGGGCCTTGTGGGGTGAGCGCACGTGAGCAAGCCTGTTTCAGCTGGAGCTCTAGACACCGTCTAACGTTTGTCTTTAAATCATCATCAGATTCCCAAATGCAGGAAAGTCATCTCTCCTCACAGCATTGTCTAATGCCACGCCTCAGATCGCCAGTTACGCATGTGAGCGCAGATCAAAGCCGGTGCCGGGGCTCAGCACTTTTACTCCCTTCTGGGTCTAAAAAGCTTTTTGTGTGTTTCAGTCACAACTTTGAGGCCTGAGATCGGAAAGGTGATGTACTCGGATTACAAACAGGTAGTTCCTTTGGTATACCCAAGTAGCTTTATTTTTTGTGAGTTCCCTCATTAGTTTGTGTTTCTGTAGATCTCTGTTGCTGACCTCCCGGGGCTGATCGAGGGGGCTCATGTGAACAAAGGCATGGGACACAAGTTCCTGAAGCATGTGGAGAGGACCAAGCAGCTGCTGTTTGTGGTTCGTATCTGCAGACGGAGCACGTGCAGACACTTACAAATTCTGATGGGCTCGACACACGGGAGGCGACATCGCCTCTCCTCCATTTTCAATGAGACAAAGAGATAATCGCGGGTCTCCTGCCTACTAAGCGAAACGCGAAAAACGTAAGTGTGAAACTTTGCGCTTGTGCACATGTCGTGCACAGGCGACCGGTGTTGGGAGTAACGGCGTTACTAACGGCGTTCATTTTTAGGTAACGGAATAATCTAATAGTTACTTTTCCCACTGTTGCAACACCGTCACGTTACTGGGGACGGAAGGTTGTGCGTTACTATGTGCTTGTGGAACGTTGAGCAACAGTGTGAGGCTTTCTGACCGCCACACTTCAGCTGCAGCCTGGGAGAGAGAGGTGTCGGTAACGCACTTACAAACATGATGATGATTGGCCGGGTGGGCGGAGACCCTCACGGTCTCAGTCGCTGCCTGCTGTAGACCCAACAGAGCAGTGATGGGAATAACGCCGTTTAAAATAACCACGTTAATAAAAAATATTTCTTTCTGTAACGAGCAAACTAATTAATTACCTTCTTCTTTTAACAAAACCTCGTTTCTGTTACTGATAAGGAAATGCGTGCGTTAAGCAGCGCGGTAGGGCTGCAACAAACGATTATTTGGATAATCGATTAATCGGATGGGGTCTCGACACGATTAATCGATTAATCGGATTACATGGGGAAATTTTTAAAAACAGCTAGGGAAACGTTATTTCTCTCCCTTCACTTTATTTAACACAACATTATTAGAAAACAGTTCAATATGAGAAAAACAACATGCCATCACCTAAATTGTCTTATAAGGTGTATAGACAGAGACCCTAAGCTACATCTATCTGTGACCTAAAATGCTTGGTCCAAGTTAAACAGCTTAAGGGCAATTCTCATCTGTTTTGTTTGATCTCATCTGTTGACATTTATTTTAAATGTAATTAAACATAGGCTGTGAATTAATCAAAATTGATCACTATTTCCAAAAATGACTGAAAAAATACCAAATAAAACAAAAGTAAATGAATGCCATCCTCCTTGCGATGATGCCCTGGGCAACTGCCATAAAGTCACATCAAGAAATGCTGCTGATCATTCCAATGATCCCAAATAGACTCACATTAGGCCACATGAAAGCAACTGAACCCAAAAATATATTAACCAGTATATAACTGCACTCTCACACAACACGCCTGCAGCAACAGTTAGGACTCCTCCCTCCCTTTTAAAAGCGTTTTTGCTTCTGAGGACATTGTGGTTGTAAAACCACATGCTAGTAGTCTGGCCCCGGTGTGATCAACCAGTTTCTGCGGGAATGTGACGGCGGAACCAGGGCCAGATTAACACTTTGTTGTACCCTGGGCAACAATATTCAAGGGCTCCATCATCACGACCCGAGGATCACCATAATGTGGTCACATACAGAATATTTTACTGTAATATGCAGTAAATATACTCAATACTTGAATGCCTGACAACACGTAACCCGCCCAGAGTAACCTTTGACCCACCTCGTGTGGACTGACCAATGAGGAGAGGGTCTTAACTTGAGGCCCTCTCTTCATTGGTCAGTCTGCATGAGACTGACTCTCAACTGACGTTCAGTCGTAGGCAGCGAAGCGTCTCTGTGCAGTGCAAAAGCCCGGGTGGACAGTTTGTTTAATGTAGGGTGACCATATTTCCATTTCCAAACAAGAGGACAGGGGACCTGGGCCTATGACGTCACTCTATGGCAACGCCACACAAACCATGTTGGGACCCATTTTTTGTAAGAACTAAATTAATATCAGATTCTGCCAATTAAAGGGCTCTAAAACAATTCATATGTAAATATTTTGCATATTTAATGCAAAATCTAATTTTTCTGCTTTAGTGCTGCAACAAGGTTTTATTAATAATAAATTATTATACCTTTTGTTTTACTACAGCATCGGTAAGCTTCCTGTGCACAGATTATTAAGGATGCTTGTTTCAGCTGTGAGATTAGACGATAGGATCAATGATAAAATAAGTTGTCACACACTCCATGGAAACTATAAGAGAATCCACAAATAGTGGCTTTCAAATGGTTTTGTTACTTTTTGCAAGTTTTTAAAAGCAGCAGATGAGACAGCATGTCTGATAATTTAGTTTTTCATCTGATAATATTAGAACATGTCATTAATGTCTGAGGGGCTTTTATAAACACCGTATAACTAACACTACTGGAGAGGGCATGAATTACACAGAGGCTTCTGGGGAGCCCAGTTATTGGGGGGGGGCATTTTGCCTTGGCCCCCAAAATGTCTTGAAACGGCCCTGGGTGTGTGACTGAGTTTTGAAGGTGATCTGAATTGTATCAGATGTATAAATATGACATGTGTATAACTTATTGTTTTTTACTGGTAAAAACGTGTAGTGGAGATAAATCTACCTACATTTGACTTTTCAACACTTTGTTTTGTTTTCTTGTTTTTATTGAACTATTTTCCTGTCCTGTCTGTCTCTCATCTTCCTGCATCTCCTCTTAATTCTCCAGAAAATCTGTTGCCTGGATTCTTACCTTTTCACCTCATCAGTTACTTTTGAGCAGGTCAAAGGGATCTCCTGACCGAAAAGCGCAGAGCGCGTTTTCGATGCTGCGTGAGGTGACATCACCACAGCACAGGTGATGAGCTCCGCAGTAGCGAGCTTCAGGCACAAATAAGACAGAAAATAGAGAACATGTGCGGACATGAACGATCGTGTGCTAATTATAGTTTTTTGGTTGCGCCACTTTGAGAATGGACCGTGCACTGGAAGCAGCTGCCTGGATCGCTGTGCAACAATGCGGAACCGGTTCGCAGCAGCGCAAGTCTGCCGGCTCTCCCTCGCGCTGATCTGCGGCTCTCCCTCGCGCTGATCTGACTTGCTCTGGTCTGCGCGCAACGGCGGGCGGGAAGGGGGGGCGCTTTTGGAAGAGTTGTGCGACACAACGAATCGATGACGCAATTCGTTGCCAACGCTTTTAGTAATCGATTTTCATCGAATTTATCGATTCGTTGTTGCAGCCCTACAGCGCGGTGTGTTGAAGCTGTCATCAGCTGATCAGGAGCTAAAGAGGCAGATGTTTTCATCCAAGAGCATCACGGCCGTGAAGAACGAGGTAGACGTGATGAATATCTACGGCTGCAGGTGTGGATATTCATCGGGACGTCCCGAAGGTCCGCTCACCTGTTCACCGCTCAGACGTCCTGATCTTCTACCTTCCTAGATCATCCAGCTGTAACCTGTTCCTGATCATGTCTTTAGTCCCGCTGTAACACTGATGCATCAGTCTCAGACGTCATGGAGCTCAGGTGTTATTAGAACTACCTGTGTGTGTTCACCACCCAGCTTCAGCTCTTCTGTGGTTGGGTCTGACCCACGTTAGTAAATGTAAGTCCTCCATCAGGCTTGTGCCTCTTCTAGTGTCATTTTAAAGGATTTTATTTATTTATTTAACTAGAGCTGAGGAAAATAATCAAATAATCGATGCATGGGGATGCGGACATAAACGATTCTGCATCGTAGAAGAGTACGCCATAATCGATTATAGTGGAATGTAGTTTTGTTTTTTTAATGGCGGCACCAGCGCCGTATCCAAATCTGTCAGAGTGAGCGTCCTCCACATTTACCTCCGCCTTAATGTGGTACTGCAGGGCTGAGCGCTAGAGTTGTCACCCGAGACCAAACCGGAACCGAATCAGCCCGACCGGTTCTGTTGGATTTGGGCCGTGAATTAAGTTAATTGAGCGGGTTGTCACGCGGCGCGCTCCGCTTGCTCGATCAGCGACCGAGAGAGAGAGACACACTGTCTGCTCACACAAGAGAGACGATCGGAGGACGCTCCTCCAAACCGATGCTCCAAACACGCGTTTTTATTTTCATAATTTATTATTTCTCCTGGAAGCGCTCTGTCAGACTGCTTGTTGTAATGTAGGGAGATCCGGTCTTGGGGAGGGGGCGGGGTCAATGACGGCGGCTGCAGCGTGATCGTCTGTCTCTTTTATTTAGGGACACGGAGAAGTTAAAAGGAGAAGTTCCACTTTATTCTTTTGTGTCATGAAGATAAACTGATGTTAAATTCAGCTTAAAGAGAAACTGGGAGGAAGCTTTGGTTCATTTTAGGTTACAGGAGGTCTGTCTCCTATCTGCTCCTCCAGAGACAGCATGGACATGAGGGTCACATGGTGAGGGTCCCACAGGACAGGTTAGTGGAAAGGTTTGTAGTTAGCTGGTTAGTGAAGGAGATCCATCAGCTGGGTAATTTAATCCTAATCCAGCCCACAGCCTTCTGCTGGTGTTATTATCAGGAAGAATAAAACACGCATCTTAAATATGATTGGAAGTGTAGAATTTGTTTTATGTTTTATTATTTTCTGCATCAAACAGAACTTGATTCATTCTCCAACATTTCAGAAATGAACCACTGGGTTCAAATAAAATAACAAACTAAGTCAAACATTTCATTTGGTGTTATTTCTGACACCCTTCAACTGTGGCATAAATATTTGACTCTAGAGCTGCTCAGAGACATTAAACACTCATATATGAACCCATTATGGATTTTATTATTACATTATGTGTCCTGTTGGTTTTCCGTACTTTTTTAGATTTTGTGAGTTTTTGCAAAGCGTGTTTTTCTCAGCCTGAGGCGTGGTGCTGAACCAGGAAACAGATGTTTTACTTTGTTAAATCTTCTTAAATGTTTAAAATGTTTTGTCCTAACCTGTTGTGAATGGAGAGCTTTTGAGGGATGGCAGGTTGTGTCAATTACGTTTTAGATAAAAAAATAAAAGCAATTATCTGACATCTTCTATTTATCGATGAAAACAAATCAATATGAAATAATCGTGATGCATCGGGATATCGAATCGAATTGAATCGTTGACCCAATAATCGTAATCGAATCGAATCGGGAGACAAGTGAAGATTCACACCTCTATATTTAACCGTTACTAGATTACCAGCAACAGAAATGCTGCTAAAACACAAACAGTTATGTCAAGCTGGAAAAATTAAAATGCTGTGCAAAATTACATTTATATCTGTAATTTAACTAGACTGAGAGACCATTTAAAGGCTCGGGAACCTTTGCAAGTGTTTATATTTGCAATTTTACATTTTAGCTGATTGGGGTCTTGTTAAATATCACACAGTGACCTTTTAATAGTCTAGATTAGTGTAATGCTCCTGTTAGTAGTTCCTTCTGTTAAGTGCTTATTTATTTAAATAATTCAGGTTTATAAAAAACATTTAGACACACATTTATTATGTTCCAGTCATTAGTCATTTATATTTCACTATCGTAGTAATTCTTGCATGCTTTAATGAAAAAAGTAATGAAGTAGTTATTTTTCTTGGTAATCAGTTACTTTTATAATCTTGTAACTCAGTTAGTAACTGAGTTACTTTTTTGACAAAGTAATCAGTAACTATAACTAATTACTTTTTAAAAGTAACGTTCCCAACACTGCAGGCGACCCAGCGACGCGATCCCAGAAAGTTGAAATATTTTCAACTTTTCATCGCTGTCGCTAGGACGAGGACCAATCAACGGAGGTTTTATTCACTGACCAATTAGCGGACAGGATGCTCCGCACATCTCCGAGCAAACATGGAGAAGTTGATACCTGCTGTGACGGATTTCCCAGAACTGTACAATATTTCTACCAAAGAATATAGAGATATTCACAAAAAGGCCGCGGCGTGGGAAGTTGTTGTAAGATTTCACATAACTCTAGCAGCACCTTGCGAAACATCATATCTACCGCTTTTTTAACTCTGAACCACTTAAATAACCTTAATTCCCTCCAACCCGACGCAGCCAAACAAAACAACGGAAGATTCGATTTCGCCATGGAACAGAACGCGTAGACGGCTTTGCCGCTGGCCGCTGCCGCGGGTCGCCTCCCGTGTATCGAGCCTATTAAAGTGCTAAATAAGAAATAAAAGGGGTTGAAATGATGACCGAAACAATAAAACAGAAATGTAGAAGGAAACAGCCGGCGACAACTGTGGAGTTCAGCTTTTTGTTCCATTGCAGGTGGATGTGTGTGGGTTTCAGCTGGCAACTAAAACACCTTTCAGGTCTGCCTTTGAAACTGTGCAGCTTCTCACCAAGGTGAGTCTGAGGCAGCAAAAGTCAAGACTTAAAACGTTACGTTTCTATGCTTTCGTTCTTTTTTAAACACAGAAACAGTTTTGTTTACCTGTTTGTAGCTACGGTTTCGCCGACAGCTGCCGGCTTCTTCAGGCTGACGCTGATGGTGGCGCGTCACTTCCTTCTCCGTTTATCTGCGGGCAGCAGAGGACGTTGTCGCCCTCTACTGCCCGCTCTCCCCTCTCCGACGATGCAGTCCCATGCGTGGTCCAGCGTGTAAACTCCGTCGTCCCTGTTCATGGTCAGTGAACAGGCAGGCGGGCAGTAGAGGGCGACAACGTCCTCTGCTGCCCGCAGATAAACGGAGAAGGAAGTGACGCGCCACCATCAGCGTCAGCCTGAAGAAGCCGGCAGCTGTCGGCGAAACCGTAGCTACAAACAGGTAAACAAAACTGTTTCTGTGTTTAAAAAAAGAACGAAAGCATGGATTTACAAAGACACAGCAAGAACACACCTAAGACGTTACGTTTCTTTTTTCCTCCTGATTTTTTGAAGCTTAAAGAGCAAGTCACCCCCTACCAGATTCTTACTCCACTCCCACTTTCTGTTTGAAAAATACAACAAATGCTGTTGCCTAGCAGACCGAGAGGGTGGAGCCGCTAACAAATACACACACACACACAGGCTCACAACGACATTGTGACATCATATGGTACCAGCTAATGTTCTAGGGTACCTCTTAGCCAATAGCGATGGCAGTTTTAAATTCAAATGCAGTGCAGAGTTTTTACCTGACAACGGCACAACACTGTTTGACTAAAGTGCGTCTTCGGTAAAATTTAAATGTTCTGCCTAAAACTGTCAGTGTTGTGCCGTTGTCAGGTACAAACTCTGCACTGCATTTGAATTTAAATCTGCCATCGCTATTGGCTAAGAGGTACCCTAGAACATTAGCTGGTACCATATGATATCACAATGTCGTTGTGAGCCTGTGTGTGAGTGTATTAACAAATACACACCAAGCGGCTCCACCCCCTCGTTCTGCTAGGCAACAGCATTTGTTGCATTTTTCAAACAGGAAGTGGGAGTGGAGTAAGACTCTGGTAGGGGGTGACTTGCTCTTTAAAGACCCTGTCCTCTACTTTCCCCTCCTATGAGACCTGTCCTGTCCCACAGTAGCTGTTAGAGCGCTCACATTCCCTTTTCTTGTGTTTTTTACATTTATTTTCAGACTTGGCAGTGCTTTGGCCATTTGCTGTTCTTCCATCTACATGTTTTAGATCTTTTTTTAGCTCCTGCGTCGGATTAGGTAGATTTTTTAGCTCAGCGTGGACACTTGAGCTAAATAAAGATACGATTGGTCCATGCAAAACAACTTCAGTGCACATCCAGCACTCGCACCATTAAAACTGTGCCGACACCAGTGAGTCTTAGCTCTTTTAATTTCATTGCACTTTGACGTTTAGCTTTAATATGAACCCAAACTGTACAGCAGCGCCCTCTACTGTTTGTTTTGTTCAAAGGGTCTCCTCTGTGAACATGCAGGGCTTTAGGGCTTGTAAGTCTTTATAACCCTCACACTCTCTTGTCTGCTGGAAGGAGCTGGAGTTGTACAAGGAGGAGCTGATGTTGAAGCCTGCATTATTAGTGGTGAATAAAATGGATCTGCCTGGTGCTGAGGACAAACTATCAGAGCTAAAGGAGCAGCTGCAACACCCAGAAGGTAAATTAGATGATTTTCGCTGTTGATGAATTTATGGGTCAGTTTGTGGAAGCCCAGAAAGCTGTTTGTCTCTGATGTTTTTTTAAACTATAATTTGACTTTTATTAATCTTGTTTAATAGCAGGGCTGTTCAGTTCCGGGCCTGGAGGGCCGGTATCCAACACGTTTTACTTTAAACCCTGCTTCAACACACCTGATTTCAATCAGCAGGTGATTAACTCATTCACTGCCAGCATTTCTCACTGTTTTGACTGGGTTTCTTTAAGAGTCACAGAACGTTGCGCGCCAGGATGATGTCTACGCCAAAACAAAGCGGAGACTCACCTCTTACATCAGGAAGAATCGCGTGTTTCGAGCGTTATCCGTTCTTTCATAATCCGTTGTTGAATTGTGATCAGCAGAAGCTTTTCTGGTTCGCGCCTCACTTTTTTACAGCAGCGGCCCAAAACGATCTCCTTACACATGGATGATCTGCTTCCTGATCACGTGACGTGTGACGTACGCAGATGAAGATCGGCTTTAGAGCTGAGATGTTTGTTCTCACGGTGCGGGGGCTCGTCCGACACCCAAACAGTAAACAAATGTAAATGACAACTTTAGTCGTCATTGGCGGTGAATGAGTTAACGGGGTTCTGCAGAGCCTGATGAGCTGCTGCACAGGTGTGTTGGAGCAGGGAAACCACTAAAACAGGCCGGGTACCGACCCTCAAGGCCCAGAATTGAATAACCCTGCTTTGAAGCGTTGCCATGTGGGCCTTAGATTGTTTTAGCTTTCATGACCAAATTCCTGCTCTAGTTGATCTATACAAAGAAAATTCATTCACCTGGATTTGTTTTGGAGCAGCAACACGAGTGCAGGTTGGAGGATGCGGTGACATCTAGTGGCAAAGCTGCAGATTACAGCTCTTTCCTCCCAGCATTTGACGGTCTTAGTAAATTGGACTTTTTTGTAAATTCTCACTAGTTTTTGTAAAGCAGAAGTGAAGTCAGATGGTAGGGACGCATGTCTGTTGAAGAAAACAAAAAAATGACCTAGGTGAGCACGTAACAGGACACCGAGGTGCCATTAAGCCTCCAATTTTGCTCGTCTTCTTTAGAGTTCGTGGATTTGCTGCCTGATGACGTGATCCCAAAGAACTATATGACCTTCAGACACGTGGTTCCCGTTTCTGCCGCCTCTGGCTTCGGCATCGCCCGGTTGAAGATGTGCCTTCGACAGTCTATTGATGAACACGCCACAGCAGAAACTGATGCCATCCATCAAGAGAGATTAAAGGAGCTGAGGCACCGGACGCACCAACGTTTGTGAATAACAGACGTCCGGTGTTCTGGCTGCACCGTGGAGGAGGAAGAGGAACCTCCAGCGTTGAACTTTTCTGAAGCGTCCTTTGGCGAGGCTCAGTTTATCAACGAGGATCTGACAGATTCCCCACCCCTTATTTACCACGCTCTGTGTCTTATAACATCCACACGGGTGTGTTGATGAAAGTTTTATATTAAATATATTACAATACTGAATGATTACAAGAAAATAATAAGTGGGTTGGTTTTTGCATCAGTAGTCTGTACAGCACACAGGTATAAAACAAAATCAAAACAAACTGCAGTGTTCCTGAAGTCGAGGGTCGACGAGTCTGGCAGGGTGGGAGCTGGGTTCGGTGTGCTCCAGAACAAATACATTCATGGTTCTGGCTGAAGAGGGTCGGGCAGCTCATCTGGGACACCAGAGAGCTCGGCGCAGCTGTGTGGGTCTGCAGCCTGCACGGCCCCAGCCCTCGCAGACGAGTGCAGCGAAACATCCTGGTCTCCAGAGCAGAGAAGCAGTTTGTGTTAAAATAACCACCAGGAGCTCCTGGTGATGCTCCAGTCCAGGAACGTGACCTCAGACGAAAGATTATTACAATAAAGCACTTAACTGTTGTTTAAACAGCTGCTGTACAGAACTGCTGAGAGAAAACGTTACAAAGGTACTTAATAAAAAAGATGAGCAGCATTAGTCCAGCGGGGTGAAGATGCTTTCCAGATCGGATGCATGAGTTGAGTCACAAATGCAAAAGTGGAACACGCAGGAACAGAAACACATTTTTAGACGAGAGCGGCTGGTCACAAACAGCTGCACTGGTGCAAAACGACATCACTTCCTGTCGTAAGCCGTCCTGACAGGCGGCGCACAAAACCAGTTAAGACCAAATGAAATGTGCAGCGAGGGGTCAGGACATTCAGTGACATGCTCGATTCTCATCGTGGTCCCACCAGAGCCAGAAACCCAGATTTGATAGACGGTCATGCTGTTGGGTCTTCACAAGCACTGTACAGAAAAATGCACGTTGAAGTGCCGTCGCCGTGGAAACGGCAGCACATCAGCCTCCACGGGGAATCAGGGAGGATGCATCTTCATTATCAAACAAAAAATTCCCCAAAAACAACTCGAGTGACGCGCAGCTACAACTACATGAGACACATTTTGATCCATTCGCTCAGAAATGGCACACAAAACTAGTTCAACTCCACTAAAGCTCCACTCACCGACGGCCGCCCCAGCTACTGAACGCCTCCTCACCATCACGGGTGAAAATAATGCTAAGTTATTTTAAAAAGACACATTCTGCTCATGATGAAAACGGCGATAAAAGGTCACAGAGGAGAAAATAATGCAGACAGAAGAACTAGAAACCCTGACAGAAGAATGACTTCAGGGCTTTATGTACATCTACAGACATCTGCCTCTACAGCACACGGGAGAGGCCAGCAGCCTCTCTGGCGGCCTGTTCTTCAACATGAGAGAAAAAACATACTCCGTGTTGACTTCAATGTACATATTTACACACCAGCAAACCGAGGAGGGCAGGATGGGTCCAAGTTGGGTTGACTTCAGAAAGCATCATAGAACGTATCGGATCACCGTCTGACTGCATGCTATCCGTACAGCTCTTCTTTCCCGGGGAAGCAGGTGGGGTTGAGACAGGGTCGACTCATGCATACGGCGTTGGACTCTACAGCGATTCACGTGCGTGTAAAAACGACGCCGGGGTCCCGGTCCGATTTAAAAGGCTTTGAGTCGAGGGACGGCATCGGCTGCCCTGGGACGGTCCTCGTCGTCCAGACCAGAGAAAGATGCTTGTAGATCCAAACTCGCAGACCTCGGTGTACTTCCTGTCTACAGAGGAGGGTGGGGAAGGGGCTCACGTTCTCTTTAGGAGCACTTCTTGTGTTTTCCATTCATAGAAACGAGATGTGTGGTTCTTCAGGAGCGTTTGCAGAGCGGGTGGGACTGACGTTATATTGAGGTCTCCCACAGCTAGAGAGAGAGAGAGAGGATTCATCATTGATGCTGATACTTGTGTGTAAACTTTACCTCACACCGTCGTCATCAACAGTTTGGTTCATATAGCACTGTTAACTGGAGTGGTTGGCGTTTCAGATGGAGACTTGCCCTGGCACTCTGCCTGTTGGCTTTCCGCTGGTCATCGGGCAGCGGCGGCATCGGGTACGGGTATCTCCTGCTGGACGCAATCGATCCTGTAGAGGAAGTGGGAGACTTGGCGGGGGAGAGGGTCCTGAGGAAAACAGCGGGGGACACTGTTAAAACCTGTGTTGTCTCCTTTAGTCAGGCTGCTGCATGACGGAGTCGACCAAAGACGCAGACAGATAACTGAGCGTTGAGCTAATAACAGATCCGTGACTTTGGGCAACATCGTCCTTGAGCTGCACGCGTTTCTGAGAACAGAAGTTGCTCCTGAGGACAAAAGTTTCATGTCAAATAAAAAAAAAGAGGTTTTTAGTTTTGAAATCAACTAGGCTTGGCTCTTAAGAGCAACTTCTGTTTACAGATGTTCCCAGCTGCTGTCAGTTATTTGCATTGGACGTTATGCGGAGTACACATGTGCAGAAGTCCGCCTTTGGCACCGAGCAGCTCAGGATGAGTTCTGGGAGCAGAGATCACACGATCAGGATGGCAGACCAGAGCGGGGCTGGGAACGAACAGCAGACAGTGGAGCTTAAACGTTTTTACTGTCGCTCAAGTGTTATTTCATGTGAAAATTCACTAAAATACCACGAAAACTATCAGATGAAACAAATAGGATTAAACTACAACACGGCTCCTGGAGAAAACTGACCTGATAAATGGTTACGTAGCAAAAATATGTGAGGAATTCATCTAAAGGTGAATCAGATCAAATTTTATTAAACTCCCATTGAAACATTCGGACCTCCCAGATGAAATAATGAGAGACAGCAGCTAAACCCATGGACCTGCCCACACACCTGTACAGGTTCACATACTTTTGCTACTTGTTCTTGTTTCCTCAGTGAATCGCTGGAATATTTTATCCCGTTTCCTCCTCCTCCTCAGACGTCTGCATCGGTGATGTTTTTGGTCACATTTGAGCAGAAAAACCAAAGATAACCTGAAGATGTATAAACTTTAAGCCCCACTGTAGCGACTCAAAGGGAGAGAAGCTGCTCTGGATGAGGCAGCTCGCACAACAACACCACCAGCGGAGTGGTGGTTGCCTCGTCTCGGATAAACAAAGGAGCTGGAGAGAATGGAGCTGGATTTTGGGATGAATTCAATTCAATTCAAGTTTATTTATAAAGCGCCAAATCACGACGAGTCGTCTCAAGGCACTTCACATAATAAACATTCCAATTCACAGTTCATTAAGCCAATCAGAAATAATGTTTCCTATATAAGGAACTCAGCAAATTGCATCAAGTCACTGACTAGTGTCAGTGACTATACAGCAATCCTCATACTAAGCAAGCATGCAGCGACAGTGGAGAGGAAAACTCCCTTTTAACAGGAAGAAACCTCCAGAGGATCCTGGCTCAGTATAAGCAGCCATCCTCCACGACTCACTGGGGATGGAGAAGACAGAGCAGACACACACACACACACACACACACAATAATGTGTCTACAGTTCTATTGTGATGTCTTCGCAAATATTCTATTTGGTGAGATAAACTTTATTGCATTTATCCTAGTGGATCTCTAATTAGATGGGTAAACTAGCAGTAACACGTCCAATGAAGTGAAGTGTTCAAATAATTAAAAAAATAAAAGACTCCACATCTCTCTGTTCCTTTGCATCGTTTCTATCCTTCTGCAGATGTTATAAAACAGGAATGAGCATCTGGATGGAGGAAGGTCTATAGATCCCAGAGCTGATCTGCTGCACAAACCTCTATAGACCTTTAGCTCGATCGGAGCACAGCGATGATGTCAGAGCAGCGCCCAACATGACTGGCTCAGCCCCGACATCACACTGATGCAGGTGAGGTGGCGGTGGGGGGGGGGGGGGGGGGGGGGGTTGTGGCGCAGGTGCACAAACACTTACTGGACATGCAGAGGCAACAAGAGACTGAGAAGACAGGGAGCAAAGAAGGGAATAAGGAAGATGACAGGCACAGGCAGGTTTTAGTGTCCTTCTGCGGTTAGTTTTGCATCAAAGGCAGAAAATTGAAAGTTTTTAAACAGAAAAACTGTCTTCTCTGACACTGGAAATACGTTCAAAACTATGGCGCGGTATGGGGGTCAAAATTAAGACTACTGCCCAGCAGCAGGAGGCTATGTAAATTCCGAAGCAAACTACCGATCTGATTAATGATAAGCTGGCGCCGGTAACAGAGAGGCTGACGCTGCTTACTGAGAAATAGCACCTTTACCGGTGTTACTACTAGATACGCTAGGGACTAGCAGCCCTCGGCTGGTCATTGACTGGTTCACACACTCCCTCTGCTGTCTATTAACATGGATAGGCTAGCGTTAGCCTGGTCGAGCTGGTGTTAGCATTGGAGAGGCCATTAGCGTGCCTAGGCTGGCCACTAGCTGGATTTCCTACCCCCTCGATGGACCTTTAGCATGGATAGACTGGTGTTAGCTTCGGAGAGGCTAGCCATTAGCATGCCTCGGAGAGTCACTTACTCTATTAGATGTGGTTTTTTTTTGTACATAATATATAGTTTTAATAAAGATAACATCACAATTTTAATAATCATTAACCTGTAATTCAATACAAAGGATTTAAAATCTAAAGATGAAAAGTACTAACTAGTTAGCTCTGGCTTTTTCTCTGATATGTGCAAGAAAACCAAACTATATAAAAAGAAAACGCCATCAACCTGTAATTAAGAGCAGAATGGAGTTTACGCAGCACCTAATAAATGCTAACAGGCTGCCGGCTTTACAGTATGCTTAAAGTTAAAGTGTATAACAACGTGTTGTGTCAAAGGAACAACTGTGATTGCAGGTCTCATAGTATGTCATCCGTTTAATAAAAGTTTTTAAAAAATGCATCTAGTAGAGTAAGTGACTCTCCGAGACATGCTAATGGCTAGCCTCTCCGATGCTAATGCCAGCCTATCCATGCTTAAGGAACGTCGAGGGGGTAGGAAATCCAGCTAGTGGCAAGCCTAGGCATGCTAATGGCTAGTCTCTCTGATGCTAACGCCAGCCTATCCATGCTAATGGTCTGTCGAGGAGGTAGGAAATTCAGCTAGTGGCCAGCCTAGGCACGTTAATGGCTAGCCTCTCCAACGCTAACACCAGCCCATCCAGGCTAACGCTAGCCTATCCATGCTAATAGACAGCAGAGTGAGTGTTTGAACTAGTCAATGACCAGCCGAGGGCTTCTAGTCCCTAGCGTAACTAGTAATAACGCCGGTAAAGGTGCTATTTCTCAGTAAGCAGCGCCAGCCTCTCAGTTACCGGCGCCAGCTTATCATTAATCAGGTCGGTAGTTTGCTTCGGAATTTATATATCCTCCTGCTGCTGGGCAGTAGTCTTAATTTTGGCCCCCATACCGCGCCATACAAACCTCTGATCCTCAGCTTAAACCCTTTTGAGAACCTCTGCTGCAACATGCCAGCTCTTCATAAACAAACCTCTGGCTGGCTCTAAATTTTAGCCTCAGAGCGTAAAACCAAACCAAAAGTGAGGGAACTGTAAACAGGCGTGTGGGTTAGAAGATGCGGACTGAGAGAATACCTAAGCAACGGTCCTCGAGTGTTTCTATTCACATCTTCTACCCACTTAGTTACATCATAAAACTCAGCTTTGGAGCGAGGGGTTAAATACCTGTGGGGAGGGGAGGGGGGTCATGGACACAACAGGGGGGTGGGTGGGGGAAAAGAGAGAAAAGGAAAGAAAGAAATGAAAAATCTCCACAAATTAGCGAGTGATGGGGAGAGGAAAAGTTTAGGGGAGCAGAGAAAATCTGAACAAGGTGCGGTTAAGAAAATGGTGAAGATGGCGAACAGACCTGCGCGTGGTTTCAGGTGGAAGCAGCACCAAGAACAAACAACCGCGGAGTGTGTTTCAGGCTGGGTTTGAGCGGCGTCATTCCAAGCAGACAGCCGGCTTCTCTGCTCAGTAGCATGCTCGTAGCGACAACGGGAGCGCTACACACCACCGCGTGTGCACAAAAGGCCTTCCGAACAAAAACCAACAGGACAGGCTGGGAGGAGGCCGACACGCCCATCTCCGCTCAGTTACACTCAGCAAGCACAGATGCAAAGACGTTTACGGAGGAAGATGCTGCAGCCTCACAGGTCAGAGGTCAAACTGATGCGATCCCTGCTTCTTCTGACCTATGAGGCTCCTTTAAAGCTACAGTTCTGTGCAAAAGCTTTTAAACCACCCTTCGTTTCTTTATGTTTGGCTTCCAAGCAGCTTAAGAGTGGATTTGATTTGTGATTCTTCAGGTGTGCTTTGGGTCTTTGCAGGTTTTTAACCCATTTCCTGTCCGTGCCTTTTACCCGCCCCTGGCAGCAGGCAGGTGAAAGGCAAGAAGGACCTAAAAAATATCCACCGATGACCCAAAGTTCAGTTAATAATCTGCTGTGTGTGCAAGTTTCCTGCTAACAGCCCTTTGAGAATCTTGCTGATGCTCAAACGCTGAGAAAATGGGAATAAATGTTGTCTTTCTGACAGCTGACTGGTCAGAAAAAAACTTTTTACACCTGAATGCAAACGACAAAAACTGGAGTGAAAAGTAGAAAAGCAGCTTAAGGTCAAAGAGAAACTTGTGAGCCTGTAGAAATGTTTTTTTAACTTTCGTTTCAGAGACTTCAGAAGCAAATCGTAAAGAAACGAGGAACCGCTGTAAGCTGCCGCTGAAACAAGACGCGGCCCCAAAACACACCCCCTGTCTTCGTCTGCATGTACTCTGATGATGTAAGCCCGGTAGCCACACAGCTGGCGTCTGTTTGGGGCCGCTGCGTCGTGTCCTTGTGCATTACAGCGGCAGGTGTTGTAATGTAGTCCCAGGGCTCAATCGGCTCCTGTTATTCCTTCATCTTACTTCATTATTTAAAGCTGCAGTAGCTAATTTAGGAAACAAGTTAGCTAAAAACATTTATTTTCATGCCTCTTAACAACGTTCTAACATAGTAGAGCTATGACTATAACGTGGAGATAAAAATAAATATATAAATAATAAAGTGGTTCTCTTAAATTTGCCTGATGACCAGCATTTTTTTAAATCACAATTGTCTATTTTTTGCTCATTTTAAATATATTTTTAAACATTTTCTAAATGCTTTTTTATATTTTTACAGTTTTTGTTTTTGTGAAGCGCCTCGTGATTTTTATCTTGAGAGGCGCTATAGAAATGATATTTTCTTCTTCTTCTTCTTAGTTTTGTTTGTCATTTTTGTTGCTTGCTTTCCGTTACTGTTGCACAACGTGGTCATTATGATATATTCTGTCATAATCTAAGACGTAATATTAAAAAATGAATGCGTTTGCGTGGAGAGCGATTCAACCGAAGCAGCAATCGGGATTTTATTTAGAAATATGACGACCGGAAGTATGTTAGCGTATGTTAGCGTTTTATGTTGAAACCTACCCCGGCCACTCGTTAATTCATTTAGAAAAATTACGACCGTGAGCATGTTAAATGGCAACTACATATGAACTATAGAGAAATAATTGATAGGTTTTACGTAATATTTTATAATGAAACCTATCAATTACAAGCGTAAGTATGTTTGCCGTTTTATTTTGTAATGTATCCCGTGCATTTCCCGTCCTGACAGTGGAGGCCTCTCGGATTTTCCCTTTCAAGGACATTGACAACATTTTTTTCTGACCTAAAGATCAGCGTGTGACGTCAGAGCTTCTAAAGCACTAACACTCACCACAACTTACTAATCCACACAAGAAACTAGTCCCACAAAACTACAAGTTTTGTTCTTATTTGCTTCATAATTCCTAAAAGTTAAAGTAAAAACTAGGAACTTGTATTTATTTATTTGAGAAACAAACTAAACATCATTGCTTTGGTGTTTTGATGGATTTGACATCTAATTAATGAAGCCAGACTCTTGAAGATCCTCCTCAGGAGTCTGTTTGATAAACCAAAGAAGGAGGAAGGAACTCACTCTGTGGAGTTCGATCGAGCGCGGAACTTCTTCCCCTTCAGCTTCTTACGATTCCCGCTCAGGTTACCTGGACAGAGAGTCACAATTAGCACACTCTTTGCATTCAAACATAGAAGTAAGTAAGTTAAAATGTGTTTATAAGTGAAAAGCACCCATAAGCTATGTGTTTGTTAAACACGTCTCTTTCAACAGCGGTAGTTTCTGCATCTTTACTGCTCCGCTTCAGCCCCCCCGCGGCCTCAAACTCACTGATGCGCCTGCAGCCTCTCGGAGTTCCTGCTGTTCTAAACATTAAAATAATTATTGCATTTTCTGTTCCTCGCTTCTGATTACCTTCAATGGTGTCTGTTTGTTGCAACCAGCAGGTACAAAAACTAACTTGTTTTTATTTGACTATTTTTCTGTCCTGTCTGTTTATTATCTTCCTGCATCTCCTCTCAATCCTAAAGAGAAACTGCTACCTGGGTTCATATATATTCACCTCATGAGTCACCTTTGAACTGCAGTTCTAAAAGATCTACCGACTGCAAAAACAGCGGAGTGCTCACCGGCCGCATCGGTGAGGTGCGCCACCGGACAAAACAGGTGATGCGCGCCGCTCCACAGCAGCGAAACGCATCAGGCAGGGGCGGATCTACGAAATTATTGATGGGGTGGCAGAAGAGGGGCAAACATTTTTCTAGGGTGGCAACACACACACACACACACACATATGTATATATATATATATATATACATATACATATATACAGTATATATATATATATATATATATATATATATATATATATATATATATATATATATATATATATATATATATATATATATATATATATACATATATATATATAACATTTCACTGCACTGAGATATTGTAATTTGGTTCTATTGTTCACTCAGAAACACGTTTTCCTTTTGTCTTTTCCCAGTTTTTACATATTCATTTGTTTTGGGTCCTCATTTAATAAGCTTAAAGGACCATCACGAAAATAAAACACATAATAAAATTATGTCCTTCCTACAACAGCTGAATGCGGCAGTTTCCATGATGCTCAGCAAAACAATTTACACATTCATCAAGATCCAAAGATTTTGCCCGTTTTGATTCAATGCCGAGTACAGCCTAGCTTCATAGTCTTTTCTCTGTCAAAGCAGACTGCAAATAGGTCTTCATGAGCCTGAGTTGAAAAACTTTGATTTTTCTTGAATTTATAGCTGCCAACTGGGGTGGCAGCAGGGGTAGCAAGGCTTTCTTTTAGGGTGGCAACTGCCACCCTATGCCACCCTTGTAGATCCGCCCCTGGCATCAGGCACAAATAAAAGACAGAAAACATAAAAGGAAATGAGCCGACATGAACGATCGCGTGTTAAATTAGTTTTTGAGGTGGCGACACCTGATTTAATAATGTTACTGTGGCCGTGCTCAGGACGCAGATGTCTGGAGCGCGTCAACGATCAGAGCTTTGCATGCGCAAGCTGGTTAAGATTAGGATGGGGTGAAGGGAAGGTTACATTACAAGAGGGTAAAGGTCACAATTCGGTCAAATGTCCGTTTTACTGCGGGTGTCAGATACCGACGCTCTGGCACAGCACGTTACCTCCCGACGCGCAGAGACTCGTCACCTGCTGTCTTTTCTGAGGACAGCATCTTGTCGGTCATTATCACGTGACATCGACTAGTCTATGAAAGGCATAAAAAGTCACTACAGAGCGGTGAAGTCGACTAGTTGATACAACCCCTAGAATATTAGACAAAAAGTGTGACATTTTCTTCCATTTCTATGAATTTCAGTGAAGAAGAAGAATAGCAACAGTCCTGCAGGGCGCTACCTTGCCACGAGTTGCTTCTCGGCCTTCCATTTTCACAGATGTCAGAGATGTGTTTGGCATCTGGAATCCTCTCACTCCATGAATGGGAAAGGCCATTAGATCTGCACGCACGCACACACACGCACACACACGCACACACACGCACGCACACACACGCGCGCGCACACACACACACACACATTAAAACCACAGGATATAATGTAGGAGACGATGCAGACGTAACCACACGACTCACGATGCTCCTTCATGACAGCTGAATATAACACGAGGAATTGGGCCTAAAGGCCACAGATCCACTCAGTTCCTCCATCAGCTAAATCTTCTCTCATTTGGACATTTTGATTAAATATTCAGAGGCAAAAATGTCTAATGAAAGCCATGATTTCTGCCGTAAAGCACGATCTGGGAGAGATCTGTGAGTAAATGCAACACATTCAAGCACTTTCATCCAGCAAATGAGTTAGTGATGATGAAATGGCACACCTGAAGCCAAACAGTGAGATGTTGTGAGAAATGGATGGGAAGGAGGGAGTGAAGGACAGCGTGCAAATCTGCAGGTGGGACAGGCAGGCTGACCTCTTCTTAGAGCTGCAGCCCGAGTTGGTGCTGACGCCTGGAGGCATGTCACTGTAAAAGGAATCTGCATCCCCGGGTTTGGTGACATAGTCACCGGGGGGGATTTGTCTGGAAATATAGAAGAATTTGATTATTTAGTGAAACAGGGAAAATTCCCCGGGTTGAAGTTAACATCACTGCTTTACAGAAGCCCTGAAAGGACAGACTTATATTATATTATATTATATTATATTATATTATATTGTATTACATTATATTATATTATATTATATTATATTATATTATATTATATTATATTACGTTACATTACGTTACATTATATTATATTACATTATATTATATTATATTACGTTACATTACGTTACATTATATTATATTATATTACGTTACATTACGTTACATTATATTATATTACGTTACATTATATTAGATTACATTATATTATATTATATTACGTTACATTACATTACATTATATTATATTATATTATATTACATTATATTATATTATATTATATTACGTTACATTACGTTACATTATATTATATTACGTTACATTATATTATATTATATTACGTTACATTATATTAGATTACATTATATTATATTATATTATATTACGTTACATTACGTTACATTATATTATATTACATTATATTATATTATATTATATTATATTACGTTACATTATGTTACATTATATTACATTATATTATATTACGTTACATTACGTTACATTATATTAGATTACATTATATTATATTATATTATATTACGTTACATTACATTATATTATATTATATTATATTACATTATATTATATTATATTATATTATATTACGTTACATTATGTTACATTATATTATATTATATTACGTTACATTATATTATATTATATTACGTTACATTATATTATATTATATTATATTACGTTACATTACATTATATTATATTACGTTACATTATATTATATTATATTATATTATATTGTATTACGTTACATTACGTTACATTATATTATATTACATTATATTATCTTATATTATATTACGTTACATTACGTTACATTATATTATATTATATTACATTATATTATATTACGTTACATTACGTTACATTATATTAGATTACATTATATTATATTATATTATATTATGTTACATTACATTACATTATATTATATTATATTATATTATATTATATTACATTATATTATATTATATTATATTATATTATATTACGTTACATTACGTTACATTATATTATATTATATTACGTTACATTATATTAGATTACATTATATTATATTATATTATATTACGTTACATTACGTTACATTATATTATATTACATTACATTACATTATATTATATTACGTTACATTACGTTACATTATATTAGATTACATTATATTATATTATATTATATTACGTTACATTACATTATATTATATTATATTATATTATATTACATTATATTATATTATATTACGTTACATTACGTTACATTATATTATATTATATTACGTTACATTATATTATATTATATTACGTTACATTATATTATATTATATTATATTATATTATATTATATAATATTATATTACGTTACATTACATTACATTATATTATATTATATTATATTACATTATATTATATTATATTACGTTACATTATATTATATTACATTATATTATATTATATTACGTTACATTATATTATATTATATTACGTTACATTATATTATATTACATTATATTATATTATATTATATTACGTTACATTATATTATATTATATTACATTATATTATATTACATTATATTATATTATATTATATTATATTACATTATATTATCTTTTTATATTAATATCATATGACATAATATTAAATCTTTTGAAAAAACAAAATTTTTCTTTTGAAACCTAATCAAACGTTTTCCCTTTTTGCCTTTCAGGGCTTCCGTAGTGATTTCTGACAGAACAAATCTTTGATTTTATCCATCCTGTTGATCATTTTACAGAAACGTGTAGCTTGATTAAAATATTATCTCTGTTGTCTCAAAAATTCAGAAAAAGCAGCATCTATATGTTTTGCTGTTCGTCCTACCGCATCCGTTTTCTGAACTCCAAAGAGGAAAACAGCCGTTTAGGTGTGACGACCAAGGTAATCCTATAACATAAAGGTCTCCATTTTCGTTTTTAAACCAGGATCTTGAAATTTAAACTAAAGCATCTGAAAACCTCGATTTGTTGACCGATCCAGATTCACCATTGGGGTTTTTTTATGCTGTTTTTCTTGTTTTTATTGATGTGATTGCCTGTTTGTTGTTGTGTTCAGCACCTTGGGCTTCTGCTTAAGGTTGTGGAAGGTGCTCCATAAATGAATGAATAAATGAACAACAGCAGGAAAACTGATACTTATGTGTTTTACCAGAACTGAACTCTTTAGGACTTTTATGTAAAAGAGGAAATTTGCATCTAAACAGCATTTATATTCCACTTCTGCAGGATTTTACTGTAAATTTCACAATCCGTTTCATTTTAAAGCTGTTGGTTGGAAAAAAATATGTAAACATTTTCAGAAAAAAATCTATCAGTAATACGTTTAAAGAACACACTCTTTGCCAAACGAGACAAAAAACTGCTAGAAATGAACAAACCGGCAGAATCTTCTATGAACCTCAGACTGAACATAGCATTTCTTTTTGTAGCTCCTGTGAAGAAAACAGAGTCTTTATTAGAGAGGATAAATAATTCTTGTTCTAAATGTGAGCACGTCACGGAGCGCGGCTGTCGGCGTGTCTGAACGCTCACTTGTAGCACAGGGCTGTGACGACCAGAATCAGGGCGAGGAAGAGAATCGAGCCCGAAATGGCTCCGATGATGATGTTGGTGCTGGTGTTACCTGAGGGAGGACAAGAGCACAACAGATGAGCCCAAATGTGTGTTGACCGGTTGAGTTTGTGAGCCGTCCAACATACGAGGGAGACACAAACCACTAAACACCGCAGCAGAACGAGAAACACGAGAGATTATGCAGGAAAAGTCTGAACGGAAGACGAGGAAGTTAAAGCCAACAGGCCTAATCTCGGGTAATTCCACATGTGGGATTGCCATTTACTAAAAAAAACAGCTAAACTTTGTTTTTACATTAAATGAGAAAACAGCTGTGGTGAACTGAAGCGGGTGTGAGACATGTCACACTTTATAGCGTGACGACTGCAAATGAATTATGACCAATAAGATGTGATGATTCCATATAAACAGGGGTGGACTGGGACCAAAATTCGGCCCTGGCATTTTTACGAATGGTCGGCCCTCCCCATTGGGAGAGCCGTGGGGGTGGGGGGTGTTGCCGCCCACGGACTCGTCTCTAGGCCGAACGTGAGATCTAATATGGACTGGGACTGTTAAATTACAAGCAGGGCCAGACCGCTGCGACCGGGAGTCCTGGCCTTCCAGATCAGCTCATTCTCCACACCAAGCTCCCCTCAGCGCCGAGTTTAAGCTTGGTTTATGCTTGACGCATTTACTTTCCGCTTGGTGATGCGGCTCGCGGATGGAACGCGCTTCACAACTCGCAGCGTTTATGGTTCATGCGGCTCGTCTCTGCGGTGAGCCAATATTCTCCCAAACTGTAGGGGGCAGCATGGAGCTCTACGGCATGCATCCAACACTACACCATAGTAGAAGTAGAAATTACTGTTGTTTACAACATGGCATTCCAGCATTTTTAACAGCGTCCTCGTCTTTTCCGACAGTGCGAGCTATTTCTCTCCAAGAATTATTAACAACATGTTGATCACGGTGATCTCTGAGAGCTGAACCATACAAATGTCTGTATTTACGAACCTCTGCCATCCTAGTTCTTGCCAGTCCGCCATGTTTTTCTGCGTCCGACCGTCCGCGCGGTTAGAAAATTTCCTAGGTGCGCGGTGCAGAAATTTTGGGCCGTGCAGAGGCGCGGTGGAGGAGCGTGGTTGTTAAGATGACACAATTTTGCCGCACGGAGCCGTGCGGACCTCGCGGACGCGTCAAGCATAAACCAACATTTACTCAGCTATTTGCAATGTTGAAGCTCAGAAACGGAGATTTTAACCGCTCAGTAATGTGTTCACGACTGAAAGAGAAAATTTTCCAACTAACGTCCAGACAGAGCTGATATAACTCCAGCGAGCAGCGACACGCTCAAACCAGCATGACTCTGTGGCTGCTGTAGTTGTTATTTTTCCTCCCCGACACACAACAACGTGGTCCAGCTGCTCAGACATGTTCATCAGCACAAACCTATGTGAGCACCTGTTGTCATCTAATGTTGTCATTATTATGATGAAGATGAACAAAACAACAGGAGTCTCCTCCTCAGCTCAGATCAACCCCATGATGCAGGTATCTGGCTGGAACAGGTGAGCATCACAGTAAACCAGTGGAGCAAACTGAGCTTTAAATATGTTGGTTTTCTGCTCTTTTTCTGCTCCAAAACATGAAAGTTAACAGGTGAGATGTTGCATTTTCATTTAAGATAAAATGATATTTTTATTTTGTTGTTGGCCCGTGAGAAAAGATTTAACCTACAGTAAACAGGAAGTGGAAAGGCTGCAGATAGATGAATAGAATAGAAAATCCCTTTATTGTTCCTCAGTGGGGAAAGCTAGATGTCACAGCAGCGATGACACGTATTACAGGAGAACAAAAGGAGAATAAAAAATAAGAAAAATGAATAAACAAGAAAACATAAATCCTGAATAGATTTGTAAAATGCTGATTATACCACAAGTAATGAATACCACTGATGCCTTTTATTTAAAACTGACTTGCTCGTGTGTAATTTGGTTATTCCACATTCAGTGTTAATGCAGAAATATGTTTGTTTCCAAATTTAAAGGTTCAAAATTGCATATATGTTGATAAATAAAATGTGCAAATTTGCCGTCACTTTTTCAAAAAATATTAAGTTCGGCCCTCGACTCCATCCCAGAGTTTCATTTCAGCCCCGTGTGAGTTTGAGTTTGACACCCCTGCTCCAGATGGTGTAACCTTGACTTTGCAGCTCTGGCGTTTATGAAAGGTTACTGTGTCAATTCAATGGTGAAATTTGACCCTTTTGACTCATCACAGACAGGAAGAGGACCAGAAAAATGACAAAGACGAGACAAACGGTGAGAAAGGAACTCAAATTCTGACCTCGAGTCAATCCGTCAAAGAGATCAGCCTGTCGACAAAGAATGAGCGTGAAGATAATAACAACCAACAGGACGACGTGCGTGGTTCAGTGAGTCCAAACATGGCAGAAGGTTTGATGAGCAGACGATTTAAAAACAGCAAAACATCAGTAAACAAATGGTGATAAACATGTGACTCGGCAAAAGATAAAAAACAGAATGAGCGGAAGAAATCAGAAACGTTTTAAAGAGGCACAGGTATGCAGGAAGAAAAACCAGCCGAGTTTTAGTTCGTTTAAATCCGTACCTGAATCAGGTGAGGTGTGTCCCTCCACAAGAAAACCAAATGGAGACCTGGAGTTACAGTCGTCTCCGGTCCATCCCAGGTAACACACACACCTCAGCTCGTTACTGCACACCTACAGAACGCAAATTCAAAAAGGAAAAAACACGTTTCATTTAGCTTTTATACATGATCAGCAAACATTTGTAGAATCTGTGAAGTTCATTTTGATTTATGTCAAGTAGCAGTGTTTTAGAATTATATTACAATAGAAAGTCGAAGATTTTAAACTAATGCTAGTTTTTGTAAAGGTTTTCAAGTCAAATCTCAAGATTTCTACGTAAAATAAATTAAATAATGTGTTTGAAGCTTTTATTTATGGTCTGAAAAAATTAGATGTAGTTCTGCCACAAGATGGCACTTAGGGCTGTGTTCAATATATCTGAAGTAGCTACAAAGTAAACAAAACACTTCAAGGAATAAAACGCAAACATAACATGTTCAAATGAAGTGAAATATTCAGAAATCTGTTTGGACTGAAGTATTTTTTCAAACTCATATCAAGTTTATGAATTGTTTGCATTTTTATTCTCTGGCAAAAAAAAACATTTTAAATGTGTCAAATACAATAACACACTTATTGTAACCAGTGTGTTTTCCCATTAAGGTTATTATAGGGGGTCTTGTCCGGGATCATATAGCCTTTCCTATGGCCAGTAAAGTTCCAAATCTTGCTTCATTTGGCATCAATGGGTTAATTATAATTTTTTTTTTACCATTTGGATGAAAACCATCCATCCATTCTCTTCTTCTTATAGGGAGCCCAAGTCACGCCCATCTAATTCTGGACCATGGCCCCCCAGAAAAACAAAAAAATGAATGCAAGTCAACGGGGCTTAAAGTGCTATTTTCTAATCCTGTTTGTTTTGTGCCATTGATTTCACATATGATGTCCGTGATTTTTAAAGATGCATTTTGATACCAGGAAAGCACTTCTTTTCCAAATGGGGGGAAACATTATTTTAAGTTTTTGTGAAAATACATCCAGGACTACAAAAGCACATCACCAAACTGACGTCATCAAACAAGACACAAAGAAAAACAGAGGGAAAATGGCTGCAAGTTCAGCAAACTTCAAATCCTTCCTTCAGGAGGAAAGAACCACCATAAACCTGGCCATGTGGTAAGTAGCAGCTACGCTGGGGGGAGGAGATTAGGTGGTGACATCATATATGCGACGTACCGACGTCTGATTTTAGTCATGCTAATTACGAACTTTTACAAGCTAATAAATCTCAAATTACGTGACTGGCGGTGGTCAAAACAGACACTACTTTTCATTTAAATTGGAGAACAACATATGTCTGATTCAGAGTGTAAGATAAAGCGGATTAAATAGCTTTTAGCCCGGTTTAGGGACCCATGAGCCGACTGAAAAGGGAGGAGACACTCCGGGGTCGAGTTGCAGGGCCAGCAGCCTGAGGAGAGAGGCCCAGACTTCCCTCTCCCAGCCACTTGGGCCAGCTCCTCTGGGGGAATCCCAAGATGTTCCCTGACCGGCTGAGAGACATAGTCCCTCCACCGTGTCCCGGGTCTCCCTTTAGGTCTCCTTCCAGTTGGACGTGCCCGAAAAACCTCACCAGGGAGACGTCCAGGAGACATCCTAACCAGATGCCCGACCCACCTCAACTGGCTCCTCTGGATGCGAAGGAGGATGAAAACATTACACAAACACCCTAAAAGTACCCTAACGAATAATTTAACCAACTGAGCAAACCTGAAAAACAACGTCCTATTGTAAGTGATGACTAATAAAAATTGTGTTTATTGTATTTTTTTGGCCTTTTACGACCAGCTGACCGCTCAGATTTGTGCTTGTGCGGGCGTGGCGCTGTGGCGTACCCCGTGTCCGGAACAGACGGTCTTGTCGGTAGTCCCAGGGCAGGTGCTGAAGTTGAACTGCTGAACCGGGAGGCACTTGTGATTAAAACAGATGCTTTCTGTTCCACAGGCTGTCCCATCCTCAACGTATCCCAGATCCGTGTCTCCATCGATCAGCACGTGACCACCGCTGAACAGGAGACATGATCGTGTCACTCACTGGCATCACTGGCTCTCATTTCTTGTTTGTAGGCATATTGTTGCATACATTTCAAAATAAAAGTCATAAAAACTAGTTGCATTGTAGTTAGTTCAGACAAGACATTTACATTTTATATCGTTGAGTACCTGCAGTCCAGAGAAGCACTGTGTTGGGCTACTGAGAAAGAGGTCAGCCCTCCCTGGAGCTCCCCCAGGCGTGGGGCAGGTGAGATGTTGGAGCACAACAGGTAGCCACAATGAACATCCCTGAAATAAAGCAAACACAAGTCAGGCAAAGACAAACCAAACAAAAAGCGTTTGTCTCAGAAATAAACGTACTGCTTGTTACACTGGATCCAGGTGTCGTTGAACCTCCCGCAGTTTCCTTTTTCTGTCCCTTCGATGTTCAGCTTCTCATAGCAGAACTTATCAGCTGCCGTTGCCTCTGCGGGAAACATGGCTCCAGACTTCAAACACAACGCTTCGCCAGGTTTTATTGACACAGGTGCATCTCAGACACTTACTCTCTCCCCAAATGTACTTGCACTGGGTGTCTTTGGTTTTGCACCTTCCATTGAAGCAGCGGCCCTGGAGAAGAAACGTTCACAAAGGTGAGAGCGTTCAAGAGTTTCCGCGGCAGACAGTTAGAACTTAAGCTTCTTACTTGGTCTTTTTCACACGTGTAACCGTCCATCTTGTGCACATTTGGTGGACACTGAGGAAAAACAATGACGTTCTCAAAATATGATTATAGGTACTGAAATTACTGGAATGTTATGCAAACCCCCCAAAACACAGTATGACGGAGGCCACGCTCACCTGGCTGGAGTTGCCTGTGCAGTGTTCTGGGATGTCACAGTCGTTCACTGCATCTCTGCACACAACCCCCATCAGCTCCATCTGCAGCAGCACACAATCCAGATGTGGTGTAGGCTTGAGCTGGATCACCTTTTCTCACTAACATCTTTACCTTAAGGTCCTCAACTCAAAGCTCTAAAATTCCAAATTCATCCAGATTTTTATGTCCACATTTGGAGATTTTACAAAAAATGAAGGTGATTTTACACATAAAAGGCATTAATGGTTTGTTTTAAACTAAAAGGGAAGATGGCATCTATGGTTGCTGGTTTCATTTTCTACAGCGTCCATCCATCCATGCATCCATCCATCCATGCATCCATCCATCCATTCATCCATGCATTCATCCATCCATCCATGCATCCATCCATCCATCCATGCATCCATGCATCCATCCATCCATGCATCCATGCATCCATCCATCCATGCATTCATCCATCCATCCATGCATCCATCCATCCATCCATGCATCCATCCATCCATCCATGCATCCATGCATCCATCCATCCATCCATCCATCCATGCATCCATCAATGCATCCATCCATCTATGCATCCATCCATCCATCCATGCATCCATCCATCCATGCATCCATCCACCCACCCATCCATCCACCCACCCATCCATCCATCCATCCATCCATCCATCCATCCATCCATCCATCCGCTTATCCGGAGTCGGGTGGCGGGGTCAGGAGCTTAAGGCGAGAGGCCCAGACTTCCCTCTCCCCAGCCACTTGGGCCAGCTCCTCTGGGAAAATCCCAAGGCGTTCCCTGGCCAGGTGAGAGACATAGTCCCTCCACCGTGTCCTGGGTCTACCTTTAGGCCTCCTCCCGGTTGGACGTGCCCGAAAAACCTAACCAGGGAGGCGTCCAGGAGGCATCCTGACCAGATGCCCGAGCCACCTCAACTGGCTCCTCTCGATGTGGAGGAGCAGCGGGTCTACTCCGAGCCCCTCCCGGATGAAAGGTAAGGTGGGAGCCTTACCTTTTCTACAGCGTTGTCGCTGAAACTATATTCTTAAAAGTTTTATCAGGTAATGTTTCTAAAAAAAACACTCCCTACAACTAAAATCTAATATATGCTAATCAGTTATCTCTATGCGGGACTTTGTTTGCATCGAGACAAAATACTGTTGCTTTGGTAAACAAAGCGTAAACAGGAGCAACTGTGTAAAAAAGGAGTAAAATCCATAAATAGACAAAATTTCAGCTTGTTTGTGTAAAGCCAAACCTGCTGTTTCTACTGTGAGGTGCACCACAGCCACAGAGCTCCAAAAAGACAAAATCCCAATGTATGGAAACCAAATATTATCAAACTATTCCCAAACAAGCTGCAAACCTAGAAAAGTGGGGTTGTTGAGGGGTTCGATGCCTCTCCTTGGACCAATTTGGCACTCTAGGGTCTGTTTTACCCTCTCTGACCCCCAGAAGAAAGGAAATCTTTAAATCCTAATTTTCAGTACCTGGCAGTTTTTGCAGCAGAGTCCATTGCTGCAGTTGGAGCCTTTAGTCAGAGTGCAGTTCTTACAGCAGTTCCCTCCTTCTTTGGCACATTCCTGAAACACACAGAGAAACAGTTCAGATGTTTTCTTGGGATTCGTTATAAATTGTTAACATTCCCACATAAGTCATAGAAAACGTTTGACCTTCATCAGAACTCGTAATACTTTATTTCTCCTGTTGGTTTAAGCCCTATAACCAATGTTGGGAGTAATGCAGTACAAAAGTAATTAATTACTGTGATGCATTGCTTTTAGCTGTAATGTGGTAATGTAAGGCATTACAGGGAAAGAAAATGGTAATATTTACTCGGTACAATTGTCAGTAACGCGGTAATTACAATGCATTTTCAAACCCAGAATCAAGATGTGGGTTTCCAAAAAATTCAAATTGCGGGAAACCTGAAAAAAGTTCCAGTGTCTGCATATATGACGTCATTTATGGACTCAGCTTTGCAGGCAGAGAGGACGCAGCGATAATGGCTCAAATACTCCAGCTGCATCCTGCATGCGGCCGCTGTAACATTCACAAAATCGCTCCACTAAAACAAAATAATTCACTTGCGATCGTTCATATCAGCGCATATTCTCTGGTATTTTGTACTTTTCTGACGTGCTTTGCCTCAGCCGAGTTCATAATCTGGGCCCCAGTGATTTCAACTCATTGCTGCTGGAGCGCCGCGCATGTGAAGATCCCGTTGGCTGATTAGTTAGAAAGTAGGAAATCTAGGAAACAGTTTTTCTGGAAGACGGAGAAAACATGCAGCATGCAGGAAGGTTAGAGAGAGAAAGGGCCGGAAATTATTCAAATAAAATCAAGAAAACAAAACAAAGTGCTTGAAAAGAAAAAAGTAGATAGATTTATCCCCAATACACATTTTTACCAGTGAAAAGCAATAATATATAAGCATTTAATATTTATACATGTGATAGAATCAGATCACCCCAGAAGTCAGTCCCACATCCAGGGCCGTATCAAGGCATTTGGGGACCAGGGCAAATATAGGCTTGGAGCCCCCACCACCTCACTCCCTGCTCAGTTAATCTAAGATGGCAGCATGCTGAGAGTACAGATTGTTGTTGTTTTTATTTAATAAACAATCATTTTAAAGCACCGTTATTATATCTGACTGTTTTTAACAGCAGTCCTAGCTCAGACACCACATCACCTTCCACCGGATGTGTCACGAGTTCAACGGGCATCAGATTACCAAACTCATACTGAAGTTGTTTTGTTGAAAGTAACTTAGAGTAATGCAAAAGTAGTGTAATGCCTTACATTTTAAAATCAGTAGTATTGTAATGTGATGAATTACTTTAAAATGAGGGTAACAAGTAATAAATAATGCATTACAGTTTTGAAGTAACTTGCCCAACACTGCCTATAACACCATGTGGTCTTGTTGTTGGTGACTGGCCGCTCCAGCGTCCACCTCTGACTCATCTTCAGGCAAGGTGAAAAGATTTGAGTTTGTTTTATTTAATTTCCTTCATTAACTGCAGTTTGCTGAAGCTGATGGGAAATATTGTGATTAAATAAAATTAAAAACCATGAAGGCATCAGCCTGAGCAGAATTTCTCCAACTGTTTTTCTAAGTTTTCCAAAAGAACTGTTAGTTTGCACCTGAATCCTGCATCATTCCTAAAGCTGCTCTTGTGTTTTAACTCACCGCGGCGTTGCCGCAGTCACACTCCTCTCCTGGCTCCACGAAGCCGTTTCCACATTCTGAAGGATTCAAAAGCTGAGAAAACAAAAGTCAAAAAGCGTTTTCAGTTTGAGTTTCATCTTAAAAGTGATTTGAAATCATCTAAAAAGTAATTAAAATATTTCTTCTTGTGAATTTATCAACAACGCTAAGAAATGTGATTGTTTAAAATTTGAAACGGCGATAAAAACAGATCAGAGCGCTGTTCCTGAGTGGGGGCCACCCTGATCTAAATGACTGGTTAGTGAACCAGCTTCCCATACAGATTATTTTTAATATGTAGAATCTTTCTGTGATATTATAAACTCTTTAAAATCTGTCGTATCTTATAACACACTGATGTTGTTTTCTTCCTTAAAGAGCAAGTCACCCCCTACTCTACTTCCACTTCCTGTTTGAAAAATGCAACAAATGCTGTTGCCTAGCAAGACCGAGAGGGCGGAGCCGCTAACAAATACACACACACACACACACACACACACACACACACACACACACACACACACACACACACACACACACACACACACACACACACAGGCTCACAACAACATTGTGACATCATATGGTACCAGCTAACGTTCTAGGGTGCCTCTTAGCCAATAGCGATGGCAGATTTAAATTCAAATGCAGTGCAGAGTTTTTACCTGACAACGGCACAACACTGACAGTTTTAGGCAGAAAATTACAATTTTAACTAAAACACACTAAAGTGCAAAACTATTGATGACACGTGTCTGCAGCACAATTAGACACACATTTATATAGTTTATCAGAAAAAAAGTTGGTTTGGGGGTGACTTGCTCTTTAATGTGGCTGAGTTTAGATTTACAGGTCATGTACCTTCTGTGGCTTGTTGAACAGACAGACTCCTCCTCCACTGTTCAGAAAGTTGTGGTACTCCTCCACGTTGCACTCAGAAAACTTCTTAGGCAGGTGGATGCTGATCAATAAACCAAAACACATGGACATCACACAAAAGGCATCCTCACACCCGACTGCCACAGGAGCAGCCTCCTCTCCAAAGACAAAAAACTAAAATACTGTGGAAAAAATATTGTTGGTGCATTTTTACAAACCAGAGGAGATTCAGAGGAAAAAATATGCTTAAGGTCTCACAGTTAATTAGCTGTCATAATCCTAAAATGGTTTTGGTTCACTTGCACTTCTGCACTGCAAAAACTGATTTCTAATAAAGTTAAAAAAATTTTTTTTGGACATTTTATCTTATTTTTAGTCTAAAGAGAAAATTATTATCTATAAAAATGTTGTTATATAAAATAGGGAAAATATTCTTAAATATGATCCAAATTTTCTTGTTTTTAGTTTAAAAAAAATAAAAATTGCCAGTGGCGTAAACAAAAGCTGACTGGTTAGAATCAAAATTTTAAATTTTTTTCTAGTTTTAAGAATTCTAGCCAAGCAAACTTTGCTTATCCCACTGGCAAAATATTTTACTAAAACAAGAAAATTTGGATCATATTTAAGAACATTTACCTTATTTAAGTAGTGCTATTTTTCTAGAGAATAATTTCTTTCTTCTTAAACTAAAAACAAGATAAAATGTCTAAAAATTAGGATTTTTTTTACATTTTTAGAAATCAGTTTTTGTAGTGTAATACGACAACAGCCAGAAGAAAACAGGTTAAAACCATAATTTAGACTTGCTAAACAACAAACAGTCTGTTGTGCGTTTCACCACGCTTCACAAGCTCGTGCATTTAGAATTTACAGATCTGTGAAAAGTGTGAGTTGTGTAAAAATCTGCTGCATTTTTTTAAAATAAGAAATAAAACTCCACCCGGTGGCATGCTAACCTGCACAGCAGCGACACCTTTGGAATAAAATGGGAAAACCGTTACTAGTCAGGTAAAGGGAACCAAGCATGCACGTGCAGGATTATTTAAAACCTCTCATTGAATGTCTGAAATACCATTGATGCCATTTTGGAGATTTTAAAATAATTTCTTCTGCTTACAGGTAACAGGTTCAAATGAGCGCCTGTCCCCTGTCAGGTGACCTCTAAAGTCATGTTTATTACTGTTGAGAGGTAGAGAATGATCCAGATATTAGTTGTTAGAGGGGAAAGACGCTAAAATGAAGAAGCATTGATAGAAAATGAGAATGACATTGCAGACGCTTTCAATCGGGTAGACTTGGACAAGATTGATCAACAAGAAGTTTCTGAGAAATAAAATAAAGTTGTATTTGTTTATCAGCCAGTAACATCATTCCAGACACTAATATATAAACCATAAGTGTCTGTGAGACATTTTGAAGTGTGTTTCTGTGAAAGTGTTTAGATTAATATCTGTAGCTTCCTGAAAAGCCTCTGTTAGGAGAAATAGAGTCTATTTCCATCAGGACTGGTCACTAGCCATAATGAAACAGCTGTAATCCCCGACATTTAATACATTTGATCTTGCCGTCAGTTTTGCATCACACTGGTTTCAAAGCAGAAACCAGCAGCAGTAAATGTAGCACCTCCAGGGTGTCCACAGATCCAGTCCAAAAATATTTATCATTATTTTTCTTAAAATAACTATAAGAGAAAAAATACTGAGTGGAAAAGGTTTATAATATATTGTTGCAGAGTCCGCACCAAAAACTTTTGTCCTTGGATGCATCAGTCCTGTAAACGCTATTTCTCCAAACGGAGGCTTTTCAGGAAGCTACTGTGCCTTACAAGTGTATTCATACCTCTTCAACTTTATCCCTGAATCCTCGCATCACAATCCCAAATCTAAACTTGCTTCGTTAGGATTTGAGTTGGTAGACGTGTCCAAACTGCGGTTCGAGGGCCGTTTGCAGCCCGTGACATGATTTTGTGCGGCCCTCAGCTACATTCCCAGAATGATGAGGTTTATCGCTCCAGCAGGTTATTGATGTTGAGATTTTTACTAATTTGTCAGTTTTAGACCATTTTGAGGAGTAACCATGGAAAAAAGTCACCATGAAATCCTTTTCACCTGTAAAGGTGTGTGACGCTCGTTAGTCAAACAGCTGCAGAGGACTCCAGCAGAAATGAATGCCTTGTACGTCGTACTCGGGAGGACAAAAAGCACATTTTAGTATGCTAGTTAGCTATATCCTGAAGTAGGGGCATTAAATTCAGTGATGCTGATTGACCCACAAAATCTCCTGTTCTCCCTAGCGACCAGAGATGATTGGCCGTTTAGCTGCAGCTCAGTGGCACTTTTCCCAGCACCTCAGGAGTGATTTTAGTGAGTCTGTTGGAGGAAGTTCGCCGTTTAATGAGAAACAGCTGGTAAAAATTGAGTAAATACTTAAGATTGCATGTGGGCACACACAACTGAGAAAAACACACAGTTATAGCAAATACATTTTGTAGTTTTTGTCTCTTTTTAGATTTTTTTTCCCTTCAGTAGGGAAGGGAGACGCCCTAGTGCCCCCCATGGACGAGCAGCCACCGACTACATTTTATGGCTGTATCTCATAAAATCCCAGGAAAATTCAAAGTTTATGTTTGCAGCAATAAAAAGCGTTTAAAAGTTATCAACACTGTCACAAGGCACATACGTAATAATTCATGTTTTTAGGCAGAAAGGCACTTCAGTATATGAAAGCATAAAGTATATGAGTAACTCTACAATGTGAGGATGAAAAACAGCCGTTGTATGAGAAAAGCAGCACGCTGAGCCGTTTTAGTTCATGACAACAGAAGCTGAGGACACGGCGATCAAAGTGAGAATGAGATGAGAGAGGTTGCGATGACGGACAACCCTGTCTGATGCAGCCAGTTTGTTAAAAACCGGCACAAGCAACACTTTAGGAAGCTTCTGCTCACCTGCTGTCCCCATTCAGGATAGAGGGGGAACGCGAGAAGTATTTAAGAAGAGGGGTCACGCTCTCTCGCACACAAACACACCCATACCTGACACGCTTTTACAGCACACACTGTAAAACACTTAATATCTGACATAAAACATAAAGACTTGTTCATCTAAGCCAGGGGTCGGCAACCCGCGGCTCTTCCATCCATCTGACGCGTCTCTCTGTGCTTGTAAAATAATAAATGGATATTTAAATAAAATGCATTTTATTTTACAGCATTAATTTTATATCTGTATGCCAATTCTTAATGTAAAGATAGTCTGCGTAAACCTGAACAGGTCCAACGGTTAACAGGTCACCTGCTTGTGCGTAATCAGAGACATCTGATTACACACAAGCAGGTGACCACAAGCCACACCCACATCACCCCGCTTCTCCTCCAGCTTCACTGGCTGCCAGTCACCTCCAGGGTTCATTTCTAGATCCTGGTTCTGGTCTATAGGGCCTTACATGGACAAGCACCATCTTACACTGGTGATCTTCTTAGTCCCTACACCCCCAGCAGGTCCCTGAGGTCCAGTGATCAAAGCCTACTGGTTGTGCAGCACCAGGCTAAAGGTCAAAGGTGACAGATCATCTGCTGCTGTGGCCCCCAGACTCTGGACCTCTCTCCCCCTGAGCCTGAGATCAGTGGACTCAGTGGTCTCCTTTAAAAAGCAGCTGAAGACTCACTTGTTCAAGCTGGCTTTTGTATCTTCTTCTTCTTCTTCTTCTTCTTCTTCTTCTTCTTCTTCTTCTTCTTCTTCTTCTTCTTCTTCTTCTTCTTCTTCTTCTTCTTCTTCTTCTTCTTCTTCTTCTTCTTCTTCTTCTTCTTCTTCTTCTTCTTCTTCTTCTTCTTCTTCTTCTTCTTCTTCTTCTTCTTCTTCTTCTTCTTCTTCTTCTTCTTCTTCTTCTTCTTCTTCTTCTTCTTCTTCTTCTTCTTCTTCTTCTTCTTCTATAGGAGCTTTCTGAGATGAAGAGGACGTGAGGTTCTGGACTTCTCCTCCGACAGGCTTAAGGATGCGTCGCCACATTGGAGACAGGAACAAGCGCCATTCAGCCAAAGTTTCATAATCAGGGAACATTTTCTAAGTGACAAGTGTCTCTGAGAGACCGGGTTTGGAAAACACTCGCTTCAGCGGGAGGAATCTTCCTGCATGGTTCTGGTTCTGCGACATGCTTCAAGCCCCTCTCCACATCTTCAGCTCGCTGTGCACCGTACGTACACGCTGACAGCGAGCTGCGCTGAGCAGTGTCCAGCTCAGATGTTCAGATGGGACTCTTTTCTTTAGTGATTTAGCTACATCTGTGATGTGTGTAACAAATAAAATGTCAGTTCGTCTGCATGCGTGGGGGTAATTCTGTAAAGCGCTTTGGAGTCCTTACTCTGACAGGCGCTATACAAGTGCGGGTCATTTATCATTCTTTCTATTCTTTCTCTGTGAAAATAAACGGTCAAATACAGAAACTATCCGGTCAACAAGAACCCTGCCATTTAACTGTTCTGTTTTCTTGTGAAAAATTGTTGCAAACAGATAAAATTAAACTTGATTAACACCAGAGCCATTATCTCCGTCACTGTAAATGAGGGGAAAATAAATTGAACAGATCCTCTTCTTACCTTCCCCACCTACAAAGTTTAATTACAACAATCAAACGAGACAGAGCCTGGATTTGTATTCTGAACAGTTTAAACATGTTTAAAAGGAAACGTATGACAAAAGTGGCACCTGCTCAGTAAAACCACCAACAGGGTGAAAAATATCTAAATACTGTAGGCAGAGACGGGCTACAACTTCTGGATCCACTTTATACAAATTGTTTGATTGATTATCTTCTGTTGAAAGATAACTTTGACGTACACGAGTGACCGGTATTGGCTGCTGTCACCTGTTGTGATTGGTTAAAGAGCAAGTTACCCCCTACCAGAGTATTACTCCACTCCCACTTCCTGTTTGAAAAATGCAGCAAATGCTGTTGCCTAGCAGACCGAGAGGGCGGAGCCGCTAACAAATACACACACACACACACAGAGAGGCTCACAAAGACATTGTGACATCATATGGTACCAGCTAACGTTTTAGGGTACATTTTGGCCAATAGCGATGGCAGATTTAAATTCAAATGCAGTGCAGAGTTTTTACCTGACAACGGCACAACACTGACAGTTTTAGGCAGAAATTTACAATTTTAACTAAAAAGCACTAAAGTGCAAAACTATTGACGACACGTGTCTGCAACACGATTAGACACGCATTTGTATAAGTTATCAGAAAATAAAGTTGATTTAGGGGTGACTTGCTCTTTAAAGCAGCTCTCTGCTGTGGCTCCCAGTGTTTTCTTTACTGTGGGAAACGGGTAATAATGGCTCTTTGATGGGAAAAGGTTGCCGACCCCTGAAGAAAGTAAAATGCACCTGCATAAAGAGGCCAAACCATCATAAAGGCGCCTGCACTGACACCTAGTGGTGAATTGTAAATCTACAATAACATTCCAGGATGTAAAACAGGATAACTGTAAATACTGACTACACTCAAGTCAGGCAAATAGCAGAGCGAGTCTCCAGCGTCTGTGTGAGACAATACATCTCTGAAAATGAAAAGCATAAGGGACATTTCATTCTAACTTACCCACTAACATCCATGATGCAGCCCGCCCACTTATCATCACACGTACATTCACCTAAAAGGGAGAAACGAGGTTTTAGTAGTGAATAAAAAGAGTGGATAAGATCTTTGGAGACGTTTGACAGCATACCGCTGAGGATCCTCTTCTTGTCAGAAAAGATGCCGATGTTCTGAGCGAGAGACTGGGCCAGGGTTATCGCCATCTCGTTGGTTTTCTCATACTGATGCAGAAAGGAAGGAGGAGGTAAGAAAAACCAAGAGGCAACGGCAGACATTAAAGAGCTATGGCACGATATGGGGGCCAAAATTAAGACTACTGCCCAGCAGCAGGAGGCTATATAAATTCTGAAGCAAACTACCGACCTGATTAACGATAAGCTGGCGCCTGTAACTGAGAGGCTGGCGCTGTTTACTGAGAAATAGCACCTTTACCGGTGTTACTACTAGATACGCTAGGGACTAGCAGCCCTCGGCTGGTCATTGACTCGTTCACACACTCCCTCTGCTGTCTATTAGCATGGATAGGCTAGCGTTAGCCTGGACGGGCTGGTGTTAGCATTGGAGAGGCTAGCCATTAGCGTGCCTAGGCTGGCCACTAGCTGAATTTCCTAACTCCTACCTGGGGCGACGGTGGCACAGGAGTTAAGTGCTCGCTACGCTCGCTCCGTAATCGGAAGGATGCAGGTTCGAGTCCCGCTCAGTCTGTCGCTGTCGTTGTGTCCTTGGGCAAGACACTTAACCCACGTTGCCTGCTGGTGGTGGTCGGAGGGACGGGTGGCGCAAATGCTCAGCAGCCTCACCTCTGTCAGTGCGCCCCCAGGGCAGCTGTGGCTACATCGTAGCTCATCCCCATCAGTGTGTGAATGTGTGTGTGAATGGATGAATGACTGTGTTGTAAAGCGCCTTGAGGGGTTCCATGAATCTAGAAGGCGCTATATCAAATACAGGCCATTTACCATTTCTCGACTATCCATTAGCATGGATAGGCTGGCGTTAGCATTGGAGAGGCTAGCCATTAGCATGTCTCGGAGAGTCACTAGTCAGCTAGTGGCCAGCCTAGGCACATTAATGGCTAGCCTCTCCAATGCTAACACCAGCCCGTCCAGGCTAACGCTAGCCTATCCATGTTAATAGACAGCAGAGGGAGTGTGTGAACCAGTCAATGACCAGCCGAGGGCTTCTAGTCCCTAGCGTATCTAGTAATAATGCCGGTAAATGTGCTATTTCTCAGTAAGCAGCGCCAGCCTCTCAGTTACCGGCACCAGCTTATCGTTAATCAGGTCGGTAGTTTGCTTCAGAATTTATATAGCCTCCGGCTGCTGGGCAGTAGTCTTAATTTTGGCCCCCATACCGCGCCATAAAGACCCAACTTCTACAGCAAATAAGGCAAAGAAAGTGGTTCCTGTTTGTGTCTTTTCTTCATCTGAAGCCATAATGATGTAATTCTATATGGTAACAAACAAATTCCAACATAATCATAATGTTTGGTGATTATTTTAAACTTTTAATCAATTCTTTTTCTACCGTGGTGTTGTGGTTTGAGTCTCACCTCATTGACACCGCCTCCTTTAGCGAGAGAGCAAACTCCACCCAGATAAGACGCTCCGCTCCAGCTGCTGTGAAAGTGAATCCCTCTGAAACAGACCGGTTTGTGGTTAACGACCCAAAAACACCAAACTCCGGTTTTAAATCTCCAGACTCACGAGAAGAGCTGAACGGAGTCGCATTTCTCCTTGATGAAGTCCCTTCTGTACTTCATGAATTCCTTCAGCGTCACCATGAGGTCTTCGTCGATATTAAACTTGCTGTCTACCGACCAGGTTTCCATGGCGACGAGCACAATCTGGGTGTTGAGCTGTTCTCTGAAAATCTGGGAAAATAACAAGTACGCAAGTTAGCTTCTAAAAGTCACAAAGCTTTCCGTTCAACGTCCTGCTGTGATGTAAAAATGTCAGAGTGACGCGGGCCGATCGGGCGCGTTTCGTCCTCATCGCCGTCTCCAGCGGCTCATCATGACTGAAGCCAAACTGCCTCTGTGATCACCAGACAGCATCACGTCGCAGGAGACCGGACAGTCAACAATGGTTACCGTCTGAAGGACAGAACCGGCGACGACACAAACAAGAGTGCTTGGGTCTCAACAGATCTCTCTGCTATTAAAGTAAACACCAGAGAAGGGAAGGAGCGTGTGTTTGCCTTTCACGACTCGGACCCTTTGTTACTTTATTACACTCGCATGTTTCACATCAGCAAACACACTTTATGTTTATACCAGACAAAGAATACCAGAGTTAATGCCCAGTGAGGATTTCATTTACTAAGGGAAAAGCGATCCTCGGAGGCAACAACCACAATCAATAATTAGGGATAACTCGTAACACGTTCCATCCCATCGGTGGAGGTGTGGAGGAATGAATTTTTAAGACATTTTTGAGTTTTCCAGCATGGATGGCCTGTTTAAGGTCAAAGGTCAAACTTTCTCTTCAGGACTTCATAGTGGAAAGCAAAACTCCACCAGTTACAGAAAGGTCCTAAAGATTCAAAGCAGCCCCAGACCATCACAATGCCTCTGCCATGCTCGACTGTTAAATGGTAAATGGCCTGTATTTGATATAGCGCCTTTTAGAGTCCTGGAACCCCCCAAGGCGCTTTACAACACAATCAGTCATTCACCCATTCACACACACATTCACACACTGGTGGGGATGAGCTACGATGTAGCCACAGCTGCCCTGGGGCGCGCTGACAGAGGCGAGGCTGCCGAGCACTGGCGCCACCGGTCCCTCCGACCACCACCAGCAGGCAAGGTGGGTTAAGTGTCTTGCCCAAGGACACAACGACAGCGACAGACTGAGCGGGGCTCGAACCTGCAACCTTTTGTTATGATCTTCTGTTTCTGAGGTGCAGTGTTGGTTTGACACCAGATTTAACAAGACGCACACCCTCCAAAAGGTTGCACTTTGACTTTTCCCTAAAGTCTCGGGGATCATTAAGAGCTTTTTGGTTACTGTGGGACAGGCTTTCGTGTTCTTTTAGTTCAGCAGATGTTTTGGACTTGGAGCGCTGCTGATGCGTGCCTTTTTTGCCCTCTTGTCACTTCCTTATGGGAAGCATGAGGAAGCTCTGTGTAGAGTTAGACAGAGGACAAGCCTGGCAGGCCAGGCTAATATAACATGGGGGTAGGGCTGGGCGATATGGCCTAAAATCAATATCACGATACATTGAGAATTTCACCTTGATCACGATAACTACAGTTGTCCACTAGATGGGGCTGTCACATGTATTACCTTGAGTCACAATGGGTGTACAGCTTCTTAAAGGGACATGAACGCTGCCAACCTACACACATCTTTTCATTTGTTTATTATTATTAATTGAAGTGGGAAAATCATCTCGATAAGAGTCAGAAATTTCCATAACGATAAATTGAGGATTTATTGCCCAGCCCTTCATGGGGGTGGTTATATTTCCACATAGAGCCAGGTTGGTTTGGATAGTTTCCCCATTCACGCATGAAAACATGAAAACTGCATTTAGGGGACAAAATACTTGTACACAACATTATTTGTGTAAATATTTTGTCATTTTGAAACAAATCGGTCACTTGTACAGATCTGCTGTTTGTAAAAACTGTTATTCTTAATCTCACAAAAGAGTTTTGAAGTAAAACTAATAATTTAAGTTTTTGCTGCTGCTGGGAAGCTGACATTCTGTCTGTCCACTTCTGCATCCTATAACGTCTAAGCCGGGGCTGTAATGTGTAGGCCTCCCATTGAAAATCAATGTGTCCTTCCTAAATGGAGTCATGTTTTCATCTTCAAGGGTACAGAATAAAATCATGACCTCTGTCCAGCTTCATCAGCCTATCCGCTTACAGAGGTAACCCTTCAGCTGGTCAGATTTCAGTAGCGCAGCAAACATGGTTGCGAATAATCAAACGTTGAAACGTCTGCATCGGTATAGCGGCTCCCAGTGAAAACTCATCGTCAGCCTGGTCAATGGCCGCTCGGAGCGCATTAAGGGGACGGCTTCGGTGGAGAGAGCAGGGTTTGTTAATTGAGATGTCAGTGCAGCGTTTGCTCAGCTCCAAGACCCCAGAGTGACTGTGGAGAGGTTTCCAAGAAGAGGATCGATGCAACTCTTACCATGTCAACCATATTGACCACCGTCTTAGCGTTGTTATTTGTGTGCCCAACAGACAGACGATGCTTCTTGTACTGGAGGAAGAGAGAGAGAGAGAGAGCAGTGAGGGAAAGAAGCACACATAACAAGGGGGTTGGGGTCTCAAATGCTTACATACGTTTATTTGACTCTGGGAAAAAAATCTTTTAGATATATTTTTAGGCAGAATAATCGAGACTTGACACTTCTACTGCAAACAGCTACAAGACGGTGTTGCATCTTATTTTCGCTTCGACTTCTAGGTTATTTTTCACCATCTACAGCTGTAACGGCAAATTTAGAAAAAACTTCATTGGTAAATGGTTTGTGTTTGTATGCCTTCTGAGGGTTCTGCAACCCCCCAAAGCGCTTTACAACACAGTCATTCACACGCTGGTGGGATGAGCTACGCTGTAGCTACAGCTGCCCTGGGGCGCGCTGACAGAGGCGAGGCTGCCGAACACAGGCGTCAGCGGTCGCTACGACCACCAACAGGCAAGGTGGGCTAAGTGTCTCTCTGATCAGAGCTGGGCTCGAACCAGCAACCTTCTGATTACTGGACAACCCGCTCTACCTCCTGAGCTACAGCTGAACATTAAAACATTTTTTTCGTGCCTCTTAACAACATTTTAACATAGTAGAGCTGTAAATATAATGTGGAGATTTAAAAAAGAAAACAAAAAAACAATCATGTGGTTCTCTCGCACATCTAAAGACCTCCGCCAATAACACGAATCAGACCAAACCAACCGTCGGACCATCCGATTGTCGGTCTCACCGAACCGCCGCACTTCCCTGGGTCCTCCACTCATCACACACTCAAGTATTCAGCAGCAGAACGCCACCGGTGTGAGAGGTTCTCCGCTCAATAACATCAGACAGGGTTTTCCCCATCGCTTTATAAGCCTGGCGGCCCGCCAGGCTAAGCGTCATGCCCCGCCCCCCTCCCCGGGAAACCCTGATCAGAGGAGGAGAAACAGCCGGCTGCTACCGCTTCAGCTTTAGGACAAACTACCAGAGTCCCAAAAAAATAAAACACCATCTGAATTCATGGACAACAAAAGACGCGTGGACCCAGAAAACGGCGACTGGTGTTTGGCGCTATCTCATTTCGTCCGCCATTGCGGGTCTCCAGTTCCGGCAGAGGGGAGGGGTTAGTGTTCCGTGGTTGCGTTCAAAACCTAGCTTGTTCCATAGATTTGCTAGAACGGCTTTAATATTCATGCCAAAGACTGAGCTTAAGTTAAATGAGCACCCCTAGTGGCTGGTTGCTGTACTTGTTTTAAGTCCCGCCCCCTCATTGTAAACAAATGAGACATTTTCTAATTAAAAATTAAAACATGAATCTTCAACTTCAGCTAATTCACGTAGTTCTACCATTTCACTTGCATGTTTATTATTTATTTGCTTTGATTACAGTAAACAACATAAAACTGTTGCTTTACCCTAGTCATATTTGACACATACTAAGGATAAATTATTTCATTGTTCTAAGTTTACCATTACATAAAAACAGGGGCGACGGTGGCACAGGAGTTAAGTGCTCGCCCCGTAATCGGAAGGTTGTAGGTTCGAGCCCCGCTCAGTCTGTCGTTGTGTCCTTGGGCAAGACACTTAACCCGCGTTGCCTGCTGGTGGTGGTCGGAGGGACCGGTGGCGCCTGTGCTCGGCAGCCTTGCCTCTGTCAGTGCGCCCCGGGGCAGCTGTGGCTACATTGTAGCTCATCCCCACCAGTGTGTGAATGGGTGAATGACTGATTGTGTTGTAAAGCACCTTGGGGGGTTCCAGGACTCTAGGAGGAGCTATATCAAATACATGCCATTTACCATAATATCTGCAGCCGGTCGAACTCACCATTAAATGGTCATTGATCACCATGAGTTCAATGTACTTGGTCTCCTCCTCTACACTCCGTGACCATCTCGGAGCCTGAGAGAAAACAACAGATTTATTATTTCTGACAGAGTGTAAAGAAATGAGACGTAGGTATGGTGCTCAGGAAAAGACGATGGACACAGAGGTCTAGTCATGTTTTCTACAACAGAAAAGGAACAAATCAATAAGTCTGAACTTTCAAACACTAAACCCGATTTAAATCCCATGTTTGATAAAAACGAGAGTCTCTCAGCTAGCTGAGACACATGCAGATGCACACATCTGAAAGGACGAGGCTACAGGAAGCCTTTGCTTATGAAATAAATACTTCATGAAAAAGAAAAAGGAGGAAAGTGAAGAAAGAGAGTGAGTCGGAGCAGCTGTAGGTTTTGGTAAATATGATGGTGTTTTATTTACCTCTTTCCTAGTCGCTCTCTCTCTTTCTTAACATTTTTTAATCACAATTGTCTTTTTTTTTTTTGCTCATTTTAAATACTGTATATATTTTAACCATTTTCTAAATTATTTTTTATGTTTTTACATTTTTTGTTTTTGTGAAGCGCCTCGTGATTTTTATCTTGAGAGGCGCTACAGAAATGATGTTTTCTCCTTCTTTAATCATCCTAAAACATGTGAGGAAAACAGAGATCCGATTTGGACGAGCACCATCAACAATTTAATCATCAGCTCATCAAAGTTTCCATTAAGGCGACATAAACAAGCTCACGAAATGCACACCTGTCTCTTTCTTCTCCAATGGACAGCTTTGGATCCAGGAAAAGGGGGACTGGGGAAAGGTGGCTCGGGAAAATCACCTAATGAAAAATAAATATCAACATTTAACAACAGCCTGACCAGCTCTCTGTGTGCAGCATCATTAACTAAATGATTACAGGATTTATATTCACATTTCTCAGCTGTTCAACTTGCATCTTACCATCGAGGAGATCCTTCAGTCCCTCTCCTTCAGCGGATTTGTATATCATGTGAACACGAAAGTCTCCCTAAGACACATAAAAGAAACAAATATATTTTCACTAACTTGAGACACAATAAGGAAAAGTGTTTGGTAAAATGGTGCACGAACGTCGATTTCTACCAGAAAGACTGATCAAAATTAGATCACATTGTTCTTTACATCAATGATTTTTTAAAAAGTTTAAAAACTTTTGTAAAAATCAGCATACATGTGTACATATATTTACATTAGAGTCAGATTTATTATGTTGTATTTATATCCATCCATCCATTTTCTGAACCCCCTTGCAGACATTGGGTCGCGCGGGGGGGGGGGGGGGGGGCTGGTGCCTATCTCCAGCGGTCAATGGGAGATCAGGCGGGGCACACCCTGGACAGAGAGCCAGTCCATCGCAGGGCAACACAGAGACACACAGGACACACAATTATGCACACACACACACACACTCACCCCTAAGGACAATTTAGACAGACCAATTAAACTAACAGTCATGTTTTTGGACTGCAGGAAGCCGGAGTATCCGGGGAGAACCCACGCATGCACAGGGAGAACATGAAAACTCCATGCATTGTATTTATGTGTCTCAATTTGGTTGCCATCAGGGCATAACAGGGACCTAATAAGCCAGTTGGGAAAGATAAAGATCCAGATGTTTAATATTAAAAAAATTAACAACACCAGAAATAATTAAATGAAAAATCTGGTAAAAACAAATTAGGGCTGGGTTAAATGGCCTAAAGTGAAGAGTGAAGAGTGAAGAGAGGAGCTGTCAACTGATCACCACCTGGTGGTGAGTTGGATCAGATGGCAGAGGAAGATGCCGCGTAGACCTGACAGACCCAAACACATAGTGAGGGTCTGCTGGGAATGCCTGGCGGAAGAACCTGTTAAGACGGTCTTCAACTCCCACCTCCGGCAGAGCTTTGACCGCATCCCGAGAGCAGTGGGGGACATTGACTCCGAGTGGGCCTTGTTCCACTCTGTGATTGTTGAGGCGGCTGTTGCTAGCTGTGGTTGCAAGGTGGCTGGTGCCAGTCGTGGTGGCAACCCCGTACCCGCTGGTGGACACCAGAGGTTCGGGGAGCCGTCAGGCTGAAGAAGGAGGCCTACAGAGCGTGGCTGGTCTGTGGGTCTCCGGAGGCAGCAGACAGGTACCGAATAGCCAAGCGGGGTGCAGCAGTGGCAGTTGCCGAGCTAAATCACGGGTGTGGGAGGGGTTTGGTGAGGCCATGGAGAAATACTATCGATTGGCTCCAAAGAGGTTCTGGCAAACTGTCCGGCGCCTCAGGAGAGGGAGGCAGCAACTCGCTCACACTGTTTACAGTGGGGATGGGGAGCTGCTGACGTCAACTGAGGCTATAGTCGGTCGGTGGAAGGAATACTTTGAGGAGCTCCTCAATCCCACCAATGCGCATTCCGAGGAGGAACCAGAGCTGGGAGGCCTGGGGATGGACTGTCCGATCTCGGGGGCAGAAGTTGCTGAGGTAGTCAAACAACTACACAGCGGCGGAGCCCCGGGGGCGGATGAGGTTCGTCCTGGGTATCTCAAGGCTATGGATGTTGTAGGGCTGTCATGGTTGACACGTCTCTACAACATTGCGTGGTCATCGGGGGCAGTTCCTAGGGAGTGGCAGACCGGGGTGGTGGTCCCCATCTTTAAGAAGGGTGACCTGAGGGTGTGTTCCAACTATAGGGGGATCACACTCCTCAGCCTCCCTGGAAAGGTCTACTCCAAGGTACTGGAGAGGAGGGTCCGATCGATAGTTGAATCTCAGATAGAGGAGGAGCAATGTGGTTTTGGTCCTGGCCGTGGAACTGTGGACCAGCTCTATACCCTTGCAAGGGTGATGGAGGGGGCATGGGAGTTTGCCCAACCAATCCACATGTGTTTTGTGGATTTGGAGAAGGCTTATGACCGTGTCCCCAGGGGCACCCTGTGGGGGACGCTCCAGGAGTATGGGGTGGGTGGCTTTCTGTTAAGGGCCATTCAGTCCCTTTACCAGAAGAGCGTGAGTTTGGTCCGCATAGCCGGTAGCAAGTCGGACCTGTTCCCAGTGAGGGTTGGACTCCGCCAGGGCTGCCCTTTGTCACCGGTTCTGTTCATTACCTTTATGGACAGAATTTCTAGGCGCAGCCGTGGTGTGGAGTGTGTCGAGTTTGGTGGCAGGAGAATCTCGTCTCTGCTTTTTGCGGATGATGTGGTCCTTCTAGCTCCATCCAGCTCTGACCTTCAGCTCTTGCTGGGTAGGTTCGCGGCTGAGTGTGAAGCGGCTGGGATGAGGATCAGCACCTCCAAATCTGAGACCATGGTTCTCGACCGGAAAAGGGTGACTTGCCAACACTGGGTCGGGGGAGAGGTCCTACCTCAAGTGGAGGAGTTTAAGTATCTCGGGGTCTTGTTCACGAGTGAGGGTAGGAGGGATCGGGAGATAGACAGGCGGATCGGTTCGGCGTCTGCAGTGATGCGGACGCTGAGCCGATCTGTCGTGGTGAAGAGGGAGCTGAGCCAGAATGCCAGGCTCTCGATTTACCCGGTTGATCTACGTCCCAATCCTCACCTATGGTCATGAGCTTTGGGTAATGACCGAAAGAACGAGATCGCGGATACAAGCGGCCGAAATGAGTTTCCTTCATAGGGTGGCCAGGCTCAGCCTTAGAGATAGGGTGAGGAGCTCGGACATTTGGGAGGGACTCGGAGTAGAACCGCTGCTCCTCTGGATCAAAAAGAGCCAGTTGAGGTGGTTTGGGCATCTGGTCAGGATGCCTCCTGGACGCCTCCCTGGGGAGGTGTTTCAGGCATGTCCTGCCGGCAGGAGGCCCCCGGGTCGACCCAGGACACGTCGGAGAGGTTACATCTCTAATCTGGTCCGGGAGCGCCTTGGGGTCCTGCCGGAAGAGCTGGTGGAGGTGGCTGGGAAGAGGACGGTCTGGAGCTCCCTAGTTGGGATGCTGCCCCCGCGAACCGGACACGGATAAGCGGAGGAAGACGACGACGACGAAATGGCCTAAAATCAATATCACGATACATTGAGGATTTCACCTCGATATCGATAAGTGGACGATAACTACATGTGCGCAGAAACCAAAGTTGTCCACTAGATGGGGCTGTCACATGAACTACGTTGAGCCACATTTTTAGGTGACTCAAGGTGGTACAGCTTCTTAAAGGGACATGAATGTTGCCAACCTACACACATCTTTTCATTTTTATTATCAAATTTATTGACATGGGAAAAATCATCTCGATAACAGTCAGAAATTTTGATAATGATGAATTTTCGATTTACTGCCCAGTCCTAAAACAAATGATATCCCAATTCATCTCATAAAATCAGCGTAATTTAATTACACATTTCTGACAAGTTTTCAAAAGCAGACAGTATTAAAAACAAATGAAAACAGATGAATTGGTTTTAAAATGCAACAGCTCTTGATCTCAGAAATAAAAACTACTTTGAAATTGAATTAATCCTAAACCTTATGGCCACGAGATTCAAACAAAACCGTCTGGAAGCTGACGATGACGTTTATTAGTTTAGTTTTCTGAAACATAACAATTCATTAACCTTCGTCTTCAGTGTCTCAAACTGTAGTACTGCTGCTGTGAAAATCTATTGGGTGTATAAATTCACATTTTCTCCTTGATTTATACAAACGATTTTAATTTATTTTTGTAATAAAGCCCGGAATTATTCAGTGGTTGCTGGTTTTCCACATCAGTGTTATTTTTTTTTAAATCATTTTGAAACGAAGAAAAGCACCAAGAATCTCCTGAGAGACAGCACCGAGGGCGGAAAAAACCCACACACTGGCGGCTACATCCTGTTTACGCTCCGACCACAAACGTAAATGTTTGGGTAGTTTTGTTTAGGTTGTTACAGCATATTGGACTAAAATGCCACCACTTTTGCTCTAAACCCCGAGAGATATATGGAATTATAAGGTATTTTAACCTATTTCAGGTTACAGATCTCATTAAAGGATCGGGTTTCAACAGGTTTAATAATACTAACGTTTTAGCCACTGTTAGCTAGCTAATCGGTTAGCATGAAATGGCTAATCGGTTTTTATCAAAACAGCTAATATTAAAGTTTAGTAATTTATTTATTTCATATGTGGGGCAAGTAAATTGTGGTAAAGCTAGATAAAAACACTGAAGCTTGTAAAAGCAGTGGCTGAGTTTGTTTGTTGGGCGTAATTATACAGCCGAGCTGCGCGTTACACAATTATAATTGTTCTAATTTCTCTGAACCGACTTGAACAAACACCGAGTCACCTGTCTGGGTTGCCTTTGTTACCATCTACATGTCTGGTAATATTAACAAGTCGTTTTAATGTTTGCTGATGATTTCTTTGTTATATGTGTTATGTTTATATTTTGCTAATTAAAAGTTAGTTACAAGGGTTAAAGTTGGACAATAAGAAACGTTAAAGTGTTTAAACGATTTTATTACTTTTACTAAGTGCCATTTGCTCAGGGTAGAAACAACAAAATACGTTTCTATTTGCGTTCTTATAAATAAATCTCATTGCTTTGATTAAAACTAAAACTATCCTCACATGATGCCATAAAAACTTATTCTAATATTGCCTTTAAATGTAGTTTCTGAGCTTTGACTCTTCCGTTTGTGTCTTAAATTTTCACTTAATTCCTTCGTAACTACTGCAGAGAAAGAGCAGCAAAGAAAAGATGTGATTTAAGAGCACTTATTTATCACAAACAGTAGAAAAAAGTAATGATACTTTTGAAAAGCCATCATAACTACTATGATTTACTGCAGTTCATATAAAAGTGACAGATTCACTTTTTAAAAATATATAATTTTAAAGAATATTGATAATTACTGGTAAAAGATGTAATTAAACATGTTTATCAGTAATTTAAAGCTTATTTAAGTCTATATATATGATAAATTCTAACATTTTTAAACCAGAGCATTAAATAAAAAGCTAGAAATTTGGCTGTACTGTTACATTAAAAAAAACAAGCAACACTAAAAAAGTTAACTTGCTTTAAACTTAATATTATTAAGACTTAATTTATGGTTGTCTTTGCTGGTAAGTAGAGGCATCTATGAGCAATGTTTAAATGAAATCATTGATATTTTATGTATATTTATATACATTTTTATATGAACATAAATGTGAGTTCAGGGCCAGTTCTAAGGTTTATTGTGTGGCTGTTCAGTCTGTGTGATGCTCTGCAGGATAGACACAAACGCCCTTCACTCACAGCCACCAAGTCATTCCCATTTGTCTGCTAATGAAATGAGAGCATTGTCTCTCAGGGACAGCAGATATTGGGTCAACTACACTGTGGTGAATAGAAATGTAGGGGGTGGCCCATGGTTAGGTCAGCCCATGGCACACTTAGCGTACTCCAGTAGTAACTGGAGAGCTGAGAAATTTGCACCAGAATCTTTTCAGGGTTTTTACGGTTCTTCTTTCGCTTTCCCAGAAACTCCATTCGGCCTCGGGTCCCATCCTCAGCAGCCAGCCATGTCGTGCCGGGACATCCACGCCACCAATGCATTCTCCTTCATCTTTGCCTTCGTGTCTGTGTGTGGGATCGCCGTGGCAACGTTAATCCCACAGTGGCGCATAACGAGACTTGTCACCTTCAACCGCAATGCTAAGAACATTAGTGTGTATGACGGGCTGTGGGATAAATGTGTGACTCAGGATGGATATTCAGGATGCCTCTACCACGACACAGAGGTATAGACATTATTGCTGATCTATTGTTTGTTGTGTTTAGGTGTAATGTCTAAATCCTAACACACTCTTTGATTTTAGTGGTACTCCAAGTTGGACCAGTTGGATCTGCGGCTCCTGCAGTTCTGTCTTCCAACAGGCCTCATGTTTGGCTCTTTGGCCTTGCTTCTCTGCATGATTGGGATGTGTAAGACCTGCTGCTGCTCAGACAAACCGGAACCAGACATGAAAACCATCACGTTCCTCGTGAACAGTGCAGGCTGCCACCTGGTGGCTGGGATGTTCATGCTCTTGGGCGGAGCGATCCCCATGGCACCCTCCATATGGTTCCTCTTCCGCACCAAGGAGATGAACGTTCGATATGAAAACATTTTCTCTGACGGGTTTGCCGTGTACGTATCAATCGGCTGCTCCGGAGGGCTGATGCTAGCCGCGTTGCTCATGTTCATGTGGTATTGTATGTGTAAGAAGCTGCCTTCACCCTTCTGGCTGCCTTTTCCTTCCATGTCTAACTCTCTGTCTGCTCAGCCTCTCACTGCCAATGGACTTCCTCCTTCTCCAGTTTATGGTCCACAGCCACTGCCACCACAGATGTATCCCCCTGCGGTAATAGACGCTCAGCATTTTGGACCTTCTCAGGGCTACGTGCAAACGGTGGTGGCCCCAGCTCCACCTCAAGTATACGTGTCTCAGCTCCCCGCTCCTGATGGCTATGGATCAGAGGTGGGAGGAGGTCAAGTCTACAGCTACGCCCCCTCGCAGAGCTACGCCCCCTCCCAGAGCTACGCCCCCTCGCAGAGCTACGCGTCTGGCTACTCCGGTCGCCGCTACTCCTCCCGCTCTCGGATGTCGGCCTTAGAGATTGACATTCCTGTACTAACTCAGCATGAGTGAAAAGGGTAAAAGCTGAAGCCTGAGCACATTTTGGACCCGTCTATCATCTTTCATGAGATATACTGCTGTGGACTGCGATGGACTCTAGTGAAGAATACGAGAGCTTTTTAGAGCTTTGTTATTGATCATTTTTAGAAATCAGTCAGGAAACTTCAGATAATGGAAGATGAGAGAGAAAAACCACTTTACTAACAACAATATATGAAGGGTGTGAAGATTAGTAAAACACTATTAGTATTATTAAACCTAGATAAAAGAAAATAACTCCCTAACTTTATCTAGTTTTATCATTTCTCCAGCAGAACAGCACCAATAAATAATCTGATGTCACTAAATGGGACCAGTGGCCCACTTTCAGCCATAAAACACACGGACATCGTCTCCTGTTACAATACTTGTTGGACAAACTTGAATGAGACCGCTGCAAAATAACTAACTCAGACTTTAGCCTGCAGTCTAGAAACAGCTAGGTGGCTGATCTGTTTGTTTTGGATCTATTTTAGCTGAAGGGTTTATTGTTGCCAATGTTCTGTGAAGAGCAGCTGCTTCGGCTTTTGTGCCGGTTTATCCTGATTTGTTCACTAACTTTTTTAACTTGAAGGTATTTTTTTTATCTGTAACCCGTCGCGTCTAAAAACGTGACAAAAATCTCCTTCGCTGCGTTTTTACAAATACAGTTGAGAAAATGATCTTTTTTGTGTACACTCTAAACTTTAGTGTTATAATAACACAAACGTGAGCGACGAGAAGCCTTTACATGTCTACGCTACACGTCGGCCAAATTTAAGATTGTTGCCTTTTTATTTCTTTGAGCTCAGATCAACTTTTTCTGACGGTTGTACGTTTAGTTCTGCAGTCAGTGCCGTTGTTAAAACATGTTTTCTATCCTGTCTTTGTTTTGCTCTTAAATAAAACAAATGACATTTTATTCATGTGTGCCTTAATGTGCTGTTTGTTAAATTAAAATGGACCTGATTTCATCTGACATTAGAAATAGATAAAACTAAATGTATCCGTAGTTTTACAGTTCCTTTTCATGGTTTCTCCATCGACTTTTATCGTTATTTAAAGGGACAGTGTGTAATTTTTATCGTTAATCTCTGGAAACATCCATCAAAATATTGTTGAAAATTAATGAAATGATGCCCAGTTGTTGAAAAAATATTGGCGACTTCTTAACATATAACCATAAAATCAGGTCTAAAATACATGGGAGTGGGTCTAAATCTCTGGGCAACGCCATATTAGAAGCCATATTTCCTTCTATGGGAGCCCATGAGGACAAAATGCATTTACTGATTTGTAACAAATGATTACAAAATTTTCACCATTCATAAACGTTGTTTTACACATTTACCTCTTCACTCGTTGCCAGCGATGAAAAGGAGTCTGATGTGCTTGTTAAATTTTCTGAAGTTCCCACCCCCGGGGCTTTTTGACACTAATGGGCATCCGTTGCGAGATCTTAAGCCTGAGTCATGCTTCTGCGTCTGCATCAGTGCAGAGACACGCAATGCCATTATCCTTCCTTGCGGGCCTGCTGGAGAGCCCCTGCAAGGACGGAGTCGAGCTCTCTTTTCTAAACATCCGTCCGTCGAGACGGACAACGCAAGCTTGTGATTGGTCAGGACGCCTCTGTCGTCTACACCGCCGCCATTGCGCCCTCAAAAACAAAGAGAGCCGAGGATAACTAGTGGCAGACACGGAGAAGCTTGAAGAATACCTCACGAAAAACTAAAATTATGAATGTTTAATCTCCCGTGACTGGAGGAGTGAAAGGATGCGCAGCAAGCGTTTTATTTGTGGACGGAAATGACAGGAAACGTGGGTTTAGAGGTGGCGAGCGCATGAAGAGGAGAATGAGAGACAAATTTGTCCGTGTTAAAAAGTCTCTTATGTACAATAAACACAATATAAACACACGATCTTGGACCGGATACATGACAGGATACCACAGAACAGCGCTGCGCCCTCTGGTGTCCTGGCGGTTAATTGCTTTGCAACACTCCCCAGGAGACGGAGAAGTATGATGGCAAAATGTCTCCGTCCATGCGTGTCTGTCCCTTTCGGAGCGGACAGAGAAGCATAACTCCGGCATTACTCCAACACAAAAATACAGCTTGCTTGCAGCAATTTACATATCTGCTGCCCCCTATTGCCAGGAAAAATACACACTGTCACTTTAATGTAGCTTTGGAGGCTGAGGTTTGACTATAAACCAAAAATCGGTCTGATTCATGAATGTCAACCTAAACTTTAGCAGCCATAATTACTGCTGACTCCTCTATAATGTGTCACTTCAGCGTTAAACTGTTTGTAGAATTACCGCTAAAATAACAACAGCTGCTTCCGTTCTGTTTTTGAGACACGCACACGGGACTGGACATCATCAGCAGCTCAGGACTGACTGAATTCAGACATCGACTCTTTGTTCCTCTGATCATCACGGCTCAGTTTAAAAATAAACACACAGCATATAGACTCAGCAGGGAGTGTGTAATTGGTGGAGATTAGGGCTCCGCACAGATGGCTTTCATATGCCGGTGTATTGAGATGGGGGCAGGGCCCCGGTTGCCAAGGGAGATTGCACCTCAGATGCAGACGGCTGGTTCACCAGTAAAAAGCAGTGAGGGATAACGTGCTGCTTTGAGAGAGTGAATGAACTGGAGCTGGGTTTGTTACGTGAATGTGGCCTCAGGACATCGGGAAACCCGCTCTCTCTTTGTACCCCATCAGCTTCGCCGTCATCGCCAGCTCAAACTCATACAGACCATCATTTGGCCCCTAATATAACCCTCCCACCCTAAAACCCGCAACCTGCCAGCACCCCCATCATCACACCAGTCGTGTCTCCCCCCCTCAGTCAACCCTAAAGCCTCCCCCCCTTCTCCTGGTCAGATCAAAGTCTGAAGCAAATCAAAGAAAAATGTCAAAAACCAAAGATAAGAAAAGCTTCAAATTTGCACATTTGTTTTTTTAACGTGTATCAATTAATAAAATTGTTAGATTAAATGATAACGCATCAAAAACCTTGATTTCTTTTTTTATATATATTCTCAAATTTGCAGCAACATGCCCGAGTCCTTGTTAAAGTCTGATAAAACGGTGTGTGTGTGTGTGTGTGTGTGTGTAGCCACAGCAGCTCAGAGGTCCAGCGGGTCTGCAAAGGTGTTAATAACACAACCAAATGAAAGCCTGCAGGGCCAAACATACGCTGATGTCTGCACATTTAAATCAACATAACATACATCCTCCCTGAGGTCACACACACACACACACACACACACACACACACACACACACACACACACACACACACACACACACACACACACACACACACACACACACACACACACACACACACACACACACACACACACACACACACACACACACAGTAACGTTTATTGACTATAGCACCTGTAACATGATGTTTTTATCTCACGGACTCATGCTAGCATTGCAGTTGCTTCATTTCCAACCGTTTGAAACTTCGGTTGCATGAAGTTAAAAGAAGATTTTTTGGGACATTTTGGGGAAAACTCTTGTTCAACTTTCTCTGCCTTGGTGGTGAGAAGCCAGAAGGATGACCATATGGCAGCCAGGACCCATGCTGACTCCGAGCCTGTCCTACTGAGATTTAGTTTAAAGTTTGTTTTTGTTATGTCGGATACATGAGTAGAGGTGCATTAAAAACTTGTGTATTAAGTGCTGTTACTAACAGATAGAGAATAATATAAAGCACTATGTTTAATATAAAAACAAAATCAGGTATGGGCTTGAGTCACATGACTTGGACAGTTTCTGACTTAATCTCATAAAATCCAAGGAAAGATTTAGACTTTACACTTCACTTGGAATTTCAAATCCACTCCGTTACGAGACGATGTCAACAGTTACGGATGAGCGGCAGAAGATTCTAGACGACTCGGTAAGAGGTTGAGTAGATAAATGAGTCTCTTTCCAGAGTATTTCTCTTATCCAATGGCACCATCTAGTGGCTGATGAGCATATCACACAAATAATCTCTGGGTCCGTTTTTTTAAGATGGCGGCTTCACGGTTTTTATTATAAATGTCCTTCTGTAGCCGACACACAGAGCTAAAACACCTCGTTTTACAAGTATTATTCTCATGTCATGTTGGGCTTTCATTAGGGATGCAACAATGCCCCTTTTTCCCAAAACGATACGATACCGATACCTGGATCTGAGTACTCGCCGCTACCGATAATTCTACCACACAAAAAAAATGCAATGGATTTGGAATACAGATTTTATTTTCTTCTCTGCTTTCAACAGGAAAAGACTGTGAGGTAGATAACAAGTAAAATATATGAATAGAAATCATCACAAAACTAAAATATTAGGTGAACAGAAATGACAAGTTACAGCGAAGCCATTTTCAAGCAACTGCATTGGTATCGGTTCCTGGTATCGGTTAACTTTTAACAATACCGATACTGGAATCGGTTTCGGTATTGCATCCCTAGTTTTCATATATTTATATTTTAAACACTTATCCATGAAAAGTTCATCAACTCTGCATCAGCCGAGGTATTCCTTAAATTGGAAGCAAGTAAGCGGTAGTCTAACGCTATTGGTTAGCTCTGGTCAGTGCTCCTATTGCACGGAGCTCTGCGGGGCGGGGGCGCGCTTAGCAAAAAATAAATAAAAAGACGTATCGCTCACATTGTATCACAGTACATGACAAGATAATCACTTTTAGGGATAGCTGAAAAATCCTGTGAAATTTCTTAGAGGGGAAAACTCCGGAAAGATTAACTGGAATATCGAGTTGTTGGCACCTGAAAAAGTAGCTTGAGATCTTTTTAAAGTGGACTTTTAGTTTCTAATTCACCGTTAGCTCAACAATAACCTTTAGTCTTCTTTACCCAATATTAAAAACTGAAAGATGCTTTGGCTTCTTAGGGGTTCAAATAATAACTTCTGGGTCACTCCTGCTACTGGCTTTGGATGTTTACAAAATGCTGCTGTGTTTTTACCGCTGGTGTTGAATCGCAAATGCTGGTGCTGCAGGACCGACTCGCACAGACTTGGCAACCCCACGATCTCACAGACTGTAAACAGTAGCTACGTCTTGAGTTATTTTAAAAGGAGAAAAACAGCTAGAAATTAGCTGTTGTTAAAGACTTAAGTGTCGCTCCTCCTCCTCAAAAAACCAAACTAAACCGTTTCTCCGTGTAGAACTGCAGAACTAGACGTGCGTCTTTCTGTCATCATTTAAATAATTCAGTTTCATCTGAAAACTAGAAGAAGCCAGAGAGAAAGGAGATTTCTATCAGATTCTTTCCAACAACTTCACATTTTCTCTCCTGTTCTTTAACGTCTTACTGTGAAAAACCAGCTGCAATGAAAGAATTCGTCATAGGTGAATTTCGTTTTTTTCACCTAGACCTACCTCCCACGATGCACCGAGACGAGCCAACTACAACCACACAGGCGCGCACACTCAGAGAAACAGCAGCATCCTGCAGACACACTCTTTCACTCCTAAACTAAATATATCTGATATCTTTGTTCTGATCATTGTTTTATCTACTTCTTCCTCCTATCCACAGACATTTACACACTTAGTGTGCACCGTAAACCTCGTTCTGCTGCAGTTCAGTCCTAGATAAAAATAAAGAGTTCTAATTCAGGCGGCGTGTGTCTGCAAATACACAAAATACACACAACGACTAGTGTTACAGTGCTGTGAGAATATGTTTGCCCTCTTACATCTTCTGCTTTTTAGTCACACTTAAATGTTTCAGATCAGTCAGCACATTTCAGACAGACGTCCAGAGTAAATACAAAAATACAAGTTTTATTGGATGTTCATGAAAAAACCAACAAAGTGCTGTTTGAGTTCAGCATTTGGTATTTACTCAGATTACCTCTGTCTGATACTGGACTTGGTTTGCTTACCTGAAGCTGTAGGAGTTCACAGCAAAATCAGAGTGGATTAAAAGCAGGATTATAAACACATGCAGACGGGTTTTTAGCACGAAAACTCACAAACTTGGAAATATTTGCCCAACCTACAAGCAGTTCAGAGTAACGGTGGTCGCAGATGACATCAGTGATTTTCTACCGATCCACATCAATCACAACATCTGGACAACTCAGAATAAAATATAAAACTAGTGGAATACTGAAGAAGCAAAGCTTCACAAATGTTTTCTAGATGCACACCTTTAGTGAAGCTTATCCAGACCCAGACAGACAGGAAATGTCAGAACTCATCTGAGCAGGTCACGTTGGGTAATCGGACACAAAACTTCACGACTGTGGCTAATTCTGTCCTCGTCGGCCGGAGGACCAACGTGATTCGTACTGAAACCAGCCTCGCTCGTTAAAGGACCAGTTTAAAAAGCACTTACAGCGTCTCCGTCCTGCTCTCCAGGCTCAATCATGTAGGTGTGATTTCCATCGAAGAACATCCCACTGGTGAGGAGAGAGAAGAGAGCGGTCACATCAAGTTTCTGTTTTATTCATCAGGTTTCAGTTGGATTAGTCACCTCAGGGTCTCTTCAGAAGGTTTAATCTGCTCTGAGATTATTCTGGGGGTTTCCTTGCCTGTACATCTGATTTTAGCATTAACACACAGAAATACTTGGAAAATAACACAAACCTGTTATTTTTTACTTCAGTTTGCACAAATAAATCCAAGTTTTCTAATGAACACAGAACTAAAGTACAAGCAAAACCCAATAAATCCACCAGAGATCACGAGGAACCTCAAGCACAGCTGTTGCTGTTCCATATCAATAAATATCATCCAGAAACTTAAAGATCTCTCTACTATAAATAGATTTCACAGGAATAAATGAAGCAAGATGCAAGTTATATTATGCAACATCTTAAATAAACAGATGAATTTTATAACGAATAAACTTCGATCCTAAACGCGAAATAAATGATAAAAGATCAGATTTCAGCATCTGCTCACGAGGAACTGATGAATATGTGTAATGTAGATTCAGAAAGTAAACATTGCTAAAATCTAACACACACACACACACACACACACACACACACACACACACACATACACACACACACACACACACACACACAAGCTGTTGCTATTACACTGCACTGTTTGTACATTGTGTCACCGCCGTTTTACTGGTTAAATGTTAATTCTGATGCTGTTAAAACATAATTTCACATAACTGTATCCTCAGTAGTGATGGGAATTCCGGCTCTTTTTAGAGAGCCGGTTCTTTTGGCTCAGCTCACCAAAAAGAGCCGGCTCTTTTGGCTCCCAAGTGGCTCCTCAGATTTTCTGTTGCGTAGAGTACATTTATAACCAAAATAATGCTAAACTTTATGTAAAATAATTTACTAATATAAAAAAAATGCAATACGGTATATCTAATATTTATCATTTCTATGGATTTAATAACTGATCACTTTAAGAGATCTCCACTTCCCGACTGCTGGTGCTCATTTTCTCACCGTCTTCGTCGCACTCTCCTCTCTCGCTCTCCTTTTTCCTCCTCCTCATTCCCTCTCGTCTCCCTCCTCCCACATGTGCTCTGCTGTGTGTCTGAGTCTGATCCTCCCTCTTCCCCGCCCCTACTGCTCTGTGTGTGGACAGTCTGGACACGCAGTTACACGTGTTGACTAATCGCCTGTAGCGTTCACCAAAGCAAGAGGGGAGGGGGGGAGGGGAGGGGACGGCTCCCAATGACGAGCCGGCTCCCGTCGTTCACTTCAAAGAGCCGGCTCTTAGAGCCGGTTCGTTCGCGACCGACTCATCACTAATTCTCAGTGTCAACCCATGTTAGTGTGGGACGGATGTGCTGCAATAACCAGTTTAAACCATATTTTTTTATTTTAGCCTCATCACTCATGCCCAGTTTAACTAAAACCGTTTTATTTTATTTTATTTTATAAGCATTGTTTCAACAGGAGGTAGAGTAAAAAGGTGTTTTATTGTGTTTATTTTATAGAACTAAGCCATTTTAGGACTTTTAACCACGACTTTCCTTCGCAGATAAAGCTGATTAGGAGACTGAAAAAGCCTAAATAACTTCTGTTGAAACTTCAGCTGTGGTTGACTGTAACCCATCTCAGATTTAGGGACAAAAGATCTCCAACAACTCAATAAAATCCACTCCTTCACTGTAAAGGTGTCCGTTAAATGTAATGACTTAGTTTTCATATTTTAGCTGAAATATGCGAAGGGATTTAGTCACTGATTTTGAATATTCATATGAATCGGTGAGTTGAAGCTCTTCTTGTGTCTGTGCTCAGGTGTGGAGACATCATTAACTTTGTCTGAACTTTTAGGAGATTGGTCCGGTCCGCCAGGGAGGTCGAGGGTTAAACGCCACCGAGACAATACATTCATCTGACTCATCGGACTTTGATATTTAGCTTTTCTGGCCTCCAGCTCAGAAAAGTCACCTTCAACACTCAGTCCTGGTCCAATAACGCACTTACAAGAGATTAGAGTCCATGCAGGACCACTTTGCCACCTTCTTTGCACTAAAATGATTATTTTCCCTAACCTGAACTTAGATTTGTTTTGTTTTAATCTGGTCAAGAGCAGGGTTGGGCAACTCCGGTCCTCGAGGCCCGCTATCCAGAATTTTTTGGTTGTTTCCTTGTTCCAGCACACTTGATTCACCTGCTAAGCATCTCATCAAGCTCTGCAGAAACCTGGTAATCAGCTGCTAATGTAAACCAGGTGTGTTGAAGCAGGGAAAAAATGTGGCCCCCAAGGACCAGGATTGCCCACCTCTGGTCAAGAGTCTCGTGTAAAATTAGCAACACTGATTTTCATGTTAGGGGGGACATGTTATGACTGTCTTTATTAAAGAGCAAGTCACCCCCTACCAGATTCTTACTCAACTCCCACTTTCTGTTTGAAAAATGCAACAAATGCTGTTGCCTAGCAGACTGAGAGGGCGTAGCAGCTAAGAAATGCACACACTCATGACATTGTGACATCATAATGTACCATCTGACATCATAGTGTGCCTCTTAGCCAATAGCGACGGCAGATTGAAACTCAAATGCAGTGCTGAGTTTTTGCCTGACGGCGGTGCATCGCTGACAGTTTTAGGCAGAATATTTAAATTTTAACTAAGATGCACTAAAGTGCCGAGTTATTGACTACATTTGTCTGCAGCACAATCAGACACTCATTTATATCGTTTATCAGCAAAAAAAAAGTTGATTTGGAGTGACTTGCTCTTTAAGTTAGAATAGTTAAATGATATAGGAACATGTTTATGAAGTTCTTTGCACAAAATCCCTCTCACATGAAGCAATCTCAGCAGGTTTATTCTGGACAGTTTCAGCACCTTCCAAAATGAGTTGTTTCAGGGCTCTGTCACTTTAAGAAAACAAGCTGGAGCTGGCTACCCCCCCCCCCCCCACCCCCACCCCCACTGATGGGCAGCTATAAGCTGAGATTGTCAGATATCTGGGAGGGGCTCAGAGGAGAGCTGCTGCTCCAACAGTAGCTCTCTCTTGCACGTGAGGTGGTTCTATAAAAATTTCCCAGTTTGTGATGTCACAACTGGACACTTTTTGAAATGGCTTGTTTTAGGCTCCTGATTCCTAAAAACAAACACTGAGGATGGACTGTTTTCTTGTTTTAGAGTGTTTATAGCGGCAGTAGAGAGCCACATGGCAGCACAAAATGATGCAAAAGGTGAGTTTAGCATAATACGCTCCATTTATAAAGAATTTTTAAATCCTGAATCTATCCCATAATGCTTTGTTGTATTGAATTACACAGGTGTTTGACACCAACTGTCCTCTTTAACTAAGGACTCTGTCTGAACATAAACAACTCCTGATGAAGGTCTTCTGACCGAAGGCTTGAAAAATAAAACTCTCGCAATCGCAGATCGAAGTGTGCGGATTCGGCTCTTTTTGTTTTAAAGACCTGAATCTAAAGACTACCAACCGTTTCCCCGGCTGATCCGTTCTCTAATGTGGGGTTAAGACTAAAAAGTCAACGACTTCTAGGGACTGTGATCAAACATCTAGTTATGTTTGAAAAGCAACAATTAGGATCCGTATTTTTTAAGAGTGATTTTCTGCTTTTTATAACTTTCTGTTTATTTGTCGAACCAGAAATGCCACGTTAGGTGCCTCACAATGAAAAATTCTGTTTCATTTATTGATGGAATTTCAGTCAAAAGATATTTTAACCATGAACTAAAATCAATGATGAACCGACATCCCTTTAAATGACGGATGTAGCTGCGAGCACTTTCCCTCCATATACCGCTAATAACCTATTGAATTGCAGGGCTAAGTGTGTGTGTGTGTGTGTGTGTGTGTGTGTAACAATAAACTCCTTACTCAGCATAAGGGAAACACACTCTAATATGTGACCTCATGACGACGCACTGACTCCTCGCTGCCTGGCGCTTCACTTTCACACACGTTACCCTATAAGATGGTTAACTTCTTACCCTTTGGATGTGACCAGCATCAGCAACTCAGTGATTCTTCCCTGTTCTGACCCAGTATGTCATCTTCCAGATTATTTAATGACATTTTTAGATTACAGTGCATGCACTCTTGCATAATCTGCTGTGCTGATGAATTCCCCACCATGTTGCACCAGTCCTATGAAAAATGCAAACGTGACTAAAGGCTCTCAGCTTAATCAGCAGGCATAAAAAAGGCTTCAACCAGTTGCAGTAATTAGCTGAAACGACACGTCTGCACTGATTATTTGGTTTATTTAGCCCGACTTTGTGATGAAACCAGAGATAATGAGCAGGAACAGGCTTTGATAAGGAGCGAGTGTGAACTATAATGTTTTCAGAGATAACGGAAAGTGATAATTGGATGAAACAGTGTGCTCTGTCAACAACGTAATAAGTGACAAGGACTCTATTACCCTAACAAAAGACTTAACCCTCCCAACGTCCTAACGGGTGTGACCCCGCGAGGGTCCACGTGGCAGGGGTGAGGAGTGAGCACCACCTCACCCCTGCCACGTGGACCTCAAGGGATAAACCATCAGCCCTGCTCAATGGTACACTTTCCTCGCGGAGTCACCCATGAAGACAGTGGGAGGGTTAAAGAGCAAGTCACCCCCAAAATCAACTTTTCTTTCTGATAAACTATATAAATGCGTGTCTAATCGTGCTGTAGACACGTGTCGTCAATGGTTTTGCACTTTAGTGCATTTTAGTTAAAATTTTAATGTTCTGCCTAAAACTGTCAGTGTTGTGCCGTTGTCAGGTAAAAACTCTGCACTGCATTTGATTTAAATCTGCCATCGCTATTGGCTAAGAGGTACCCTAGAACGTTAGCTGGTACCGTATGATGTCACAATGTCGTTGTGAGCCTGTGTGTGTGTGTATTTGTTAGCGGCTCCGCCCTCTCGGTCTGCTAGGCAACAGCATTTGTTGCAATTTTCAAACAGGAAGTGGTAGCGGAGTAATACTCTGGGAGGGGGTGACTTGCTCTTTAACTCATTCGCTGCCAGCGTTTCTCACCGTTTTTACTGTTTTTTTAAGAGTGTCAGAACGTTGCGCGCTAGGATGATGTCGACGCCTAAACAACCAAAACAAAGCGGAGACTTACGTCAGGAAGAATCCGCGCGTTTCGAGCGTTATCCGTTCTTTCATAATCCGTTGTTGAATTGTGATCGGCAGACGCTTTTCCGGTTCGCGCCTCACTTTTTTTACAGCAGCGGCCCAAAACGATGTCCTAACACATGGATGTGTTGCTTCCTGATCACATGACGTGTGACGTACGCGAATGAAGATCGGCTTTAGAGCTGAGATGTTTGTTCTCACGGTGCGGGGGCTCGTCCGACGCCCACACAGTAAAAACATGCAAATGACGACTTTAGTCGTCAATGGCAGTGAACGAGTTAAAGAACCAATTAAAAACACTTTAGTTTAAACAGTAAATACACAACACAAATAAACTTTGTATTTAACAAGACTGACCGGATGAGCCAGTTTGATTTTTACCTACAGAGCACCACTTTCAAGCAGAAGAGCTAAAATGATCAGCACTAGGAGGAGGATGGAGATGAATGAGTGAACGATAACCCCTGTAACACAAAGTGAAAACAGACTGGAAAAGCTAATTAGTTTGACCTAAAAGGCAGCAGAGGACGTGAATCTGGACACGCCGAGGTGACATTTCATCCACGATGCTTGTACTTACTGCAGCCCGTGACAGGTGGAGAGCGCCACGTAGGAGCCAGGAACATCTCTGACTTTCCCCTGGTAGTAGCAGTGCTCTCCTCCCTGTGAAGAAAAACATAATCGTGTGGGTTTTTTTAGATTTACTCCATCATGAAGCAACTCCAGACTGATCAATCACACTCGCTTCATTTGCTAAGAGGCACAAGTGTAAGTATGATGTGTTGATATGTGACTGAGCAGCATGTGTGTGATACTTTCACGTAACTCCCATCTGCCACCCAGCGATCTCCACGTCTACCACAGGAGCTGCACCACCGGTCCGCTTTTCATCAGTTTTCCATCTCAATCAGCATTTCTCTACATGTTTATGAGCAGACACTTACCGTCTGCAGACGTGCACAGTGTCTGAGTTTCTAAGTGCTCTGTTGGCCATCTCTTCCTGGTCCATTTCTTGCTGCCGACCAGCCATTAGGCTGGAAGCTGCACGGTCTCCCTGAGGAAACGCAGCTTTTATCACAGGATCAATTTCTGCTCTAAAGTTTGATGCTACAGACAAGAGCGCACGTCAACGTTCACTTCTGCATCCAGCTCTCTCGCTGAGCCCCCACCACGTTGTAGGTGTGTTTTAGGAAATGTTTCATGTTATTGAACAACAAATAAATATGGAAGCATGAACTCTGGGAATTACAATCCAGATAATTAATGCTTTGTGGTTTATTTGCACACTGCATCACGGGTGTTGTAGGTTTTTGCACCAGAATATGACATTCTTGATGCAATCAAATAGTTTCTATGGCCAATACATAACAAGTTTATGAAGTTCTTAAAACAAAATCCCTCTCAGATGAAGTAGTTTAAGACATTTTATTTTTCACAGTTTCAACACCTTCCAGAATGAGCCATTTCAGGGCTCTGTCACTTTAAGAATACAAGCTAGAGCTGGCCACGCCTCCCCTGCTCAGGTTGCTATGGGCTGAGAAGCTCTGATATCTAGGAGGGGCTTGGCGTAGAGTCGCTGCTTCTCCAGCAGCAGCAGCTCTCTCTTGCCTGTGAGATGTGGTTCTATTCCTGATTTGTGACATCACAAATAAAAACTTTTTGAAACGGCCTGTTTTAGGCACATAATCCCTAAAACCAAACACTGACAGACTGGTCGGATATTTTCACATTTTCAGTATTTATGGAGGCAGTTGAGGCCCACATAGCAACACAAAAAGATGCAAAAGAAGAGTTTTACATAAAAAGTCTCTTTTAATCAATAATGCATCAATGATCCTCAGGACAAACATACATGTTAAAAATGTTCCTAACCTGGAAAATCTCTCTTCTTTCACATCCCAAAACCTGATTGTTTAAACTTTCAGCTGCAAATGCCTCAAAAACCAATAGAAGGTCTGGCTGCCCCACAGACCGCCACTGTAGCTCATCAGTCTGTTCAGTGCTTTTAACACCAGAAGTACAAAACTCTAACGAATACTTTGGTGCGCTCAGTAGAAGAATCATGCAATTAGCTGTAAAGGTTTTCTGTAGAAATCAGACAAAGTTTAAAGAGCAAGTCACCCCCAAATCAACTTCTTTTTTTCCTGATAAACTATATAAATGTGTGTCTAATCGTGCTGCAGACACGTGTAGTCAGTAGTTTTGCACTTTAGTGCATTTTAGTTAAAATTGTAATTTTCTGCCTAAAACTGGCAGTGTTGTTCCGTTGTCAGGTAAAAACTCTGCACTGCATTTGAATTTAAATCTGCCATCGCTGTTGGCTAAGAGGTACCCTATGATGTTAGATGGCAGATTATGATGTCACAATGTTGTGAGAGTGTGTGTATTTGTTAGCAGCTCCGCCTTCTCGGTCTGCCAGGCAACAGCATTTGTTGCATTTTTCAAACAGGAAGTGCTCCATTTTCAGTCTGGGTTAGATCATTTAATATCACCGTGGCAACGTGAGTTCACAGCTAATCCATTAACCGTTTTTACATAAATCAGCCTCGCTGGTCATCTTCCACGTCCGTCAGTGGTTTTATGAACCCAACTGTCAAAAAAGACCAGTCAGACTTTATTTAAGACGTTTTTATTTTTGTTTGGTTGTTTTTTAAACCGTGACGAAATCTAGAATTTTCTGCTGATAAATGAGAAAGGTTTGTGCTTCATCCGGGATTTTTTATTTTTTGTTTGCTTCCTCAAAACAAACAGAGGAGCTGAATGAATCCTTTTCTTGCCAGAGGTTTTATTGTTTATTTTGGATTGAGACGTCAGCAGACCCTCTCATTCTTGGTTTGCTATAAAGAAACTGCTGTTGTCCTTTTCTGTCTCGCCTGCACTGAGGAGGCATTTTGTGGAAAACGGATCAAACTTGTTTTGATGAGTGAAACTTGCCAGAACATAAAAGCCTGAAACTAAACCTTTAGGAAATGTATTTCTTCAGATGGACACACTAAATCATATTAGAGCACGTGAGGTATTATGGGACGATGCCTTTTTATTGTTGGTATGAAATGTACCAGGATGTTGGATTAATGTGGATCAACCTAAAGCTACAGGGATGAGGACACAGCGTGTGGTTCATGCAGCTATTTATAAACAAAATGTGCTCCACTATCTTGACTTTGTCCTCTTCCTGTTGCTCTGATCTTCTGCTCCACTTCTCATCAGAGAAAGTGATGCAGGTAGACTCTCAGTGTGTGTGAAAGTCATGTGTAATCTCAATGTCTACTAAACAGTAAATCAACTCCTTGCTCCGTTGTCGATGTAAGCTGCAAACAACATTGAGAAGACTTTCTAGATGTCTTAAAAACGTGTGCGATGGTAGAGTTTACGAGTCTCGCTGGCACGTCACAGGACTTCATTTATTTCTCAAAATGTTTGCACATCCACCACGTGCACGTTTATCTCAAACCTTTCTCAAGCGCTTCTCGATTTTGTTGCTGCAAGTAGAAACAAAAAACGAGAGACGACTTTGGGAGGGACTGGAGACCAAACGGTGAAACAACAACGATTTGTGACTAAACTGATGCAAGAAATGTTGCCTGACTTTTGCAGAAAAATTTTAAACGCCTGCATGAACCAATAGGGTCTACCAATTAATAAAAACCCAATTACAATGATTAGTACCATGTTTATAAATAATCTACAAATGAGCAAAATAAATACTTTTTCCGTTTTTCTTGTTTAAAAACCATCCCAAACCAGAACATGTGTCACGGATCCCCATGATCCTGCAGCAGCTGCGCTGGACCCAAACATCTATTACTGCTTGTAGCAGAATAAGTCCTGATCCAGACCCGTCAGAGCAGCAGAATCCGACTGCTGGACATCCGTGGTGGTCAGAGACACCCAGGACTCCCTGAAAAGCAGGTGTAAAAAACCTGAAAGAGGTGCGGAGTGCTTTCAATTACAGAAATAAAACAACTGAGGAGCAGCTGAAGTGTGATGGTGAGCATTCATCTACAGAGTAAATTAAATCCTAGTCCGTTTGCTAATGACCGAGGTAATTAGCAGTGACCGTATAGTGGATTATGTGGTGTGTTCACTTGGATCATTTTCTGTTAAGCTTCTGATCTCGCATTAATCTGGTTCTAATCTGGGAAAATCCTCAGCATTATAATCCCCACACATACTGTATGGTGTGTGTGTGTGTGTGTGTGTGTGTGTGTGTGTGTGTGTGTGTGTGCTGTAACTGATCTGTGTAGATTTCAGAGGATTATCACAGCGATGTTAATCTGGTTATAGAGTCGCTGAAGGCTCAGACCACAGATACTGATCCACTTGAGTTTCTAGAAATCCATAACTCTTCCAGGAAGCCGTTGAGGAAAAGCACAGATCCAGGTGGGGTGTGGGTACATCCTGAGTGAAAACTAAGTCACTGATTAACCAATAAAAAAATCTCACAGATGGAAAAAAGAATAAAAGCCCTGCAGCCTCGTCAGGAAATTAAAACAGCCGAGGACGAATGTCTCAAACAGCAACACGGTTGTTTCCTGAGTGTAACTGACACACCTACGAGGTCGTAAAATTTTTATGTTTTTAATTTGATAAATAATTGGTTGGACGGATCTCTAGATTTGCTTCTTGTTATAATTCTTATTGCTTATTTTGTAGGATAAAACCTGACTGTGTGTAGGTTTTATATGTTATTCCCCAAATTTCAGCACAGTAGTTCAAATACGGTACAATCAATGAATTGTATAATAAATATAGGGATAAGTCATCCAGTGACCATTTCACTCTGTGTAATATTGTGATTGATTTGGCTATTTTAGTTTTGATATTGTTTATATGTTGTTTCCAAGAGAAATCCTCATCAGTGATGACTCCCAAAAATGTTACTTCCTTCACTCTTTCAATACAGATTTCGTCTAATTTTATTAATGTTTTTATATACAACTTTCTGTTACTGAATATCATAAAATATGATTTATCTGTGTTCAGTGAACGCTTATTCCCATCGAACCATAATTAGATTTTTTCCAACTCTTGTTTGTGTCACTTCTATCATTTCAATCCAATTCAATAATACTTTATTAATCCCAGAGGGAAATTTGAGTTTCAGTACACACAATTCGGAGATCAGACATACATACATAGCCACATGACAAGAATTGGTGACTGTGGTCATTTGCAACCTGAGTCGCGCTACCGTAATAGAGATCAGAGGGTTTACATGAGGATTGGTTCAGGTGGAGGAAAAAAAAGGCACTTCAGAGTTACCCTCCACAGGGAGGGCAGCTTTGCTGTGCAAAAAACACCTCAGACAGATATGCACACAGACTTCAGACATCACACAACATAAGTGTCCACTAGGAGGGGTGGTGGGTTTTAGGACTCTCCTCACGTCAGCAGCAGCGTTATCCATTTTAGGGCTGTTCCTGTTATGCCATATTTACTACGTTTTTTTTTTAGAAGAATGTCATGATTTACTGTATCAAATGCTTTTTTTAGGTCAATGAAGATACTTATCAAATGGTTCTTTTTGTCAATGGCTTCCGATGTTTCTTCTGTTAATTCCATAAGTGCCATTGAAGTAGAGCGATTTGGTCTAAACCCATACTGACTTGTCATTTAACAAATTCTCTTTGTTCAGGAATGCGTCCAATCTGGGAATATATAGTTTTTCTAATATTTTTTACCTCTGCCTCCACAGGAGGAAAAGGGCATTCATAGTAAACAATAATTAACCATTTTTGCAATTTTCTAAATAAATATTGTTGCATCTTTGTATTTTATCCTAATTCAGTTTTGACTTTTGTATAATTTTGCAGTATAAAAAACAAACAAAAACAAAAAAACAAATCCAAGGTCCTGAATAACAATGTAATAACTGATTAGGGAGAGTGTTTCCTTTATGACCAAATCTGACAGATATCTACACATTGTTTTAATAAAATTATTTGCTTTTCTAGATCCGTGTTTTATTTTGAAAATGTTACATTTCTGATTTTCCTTATCGGTGCTCCTGTCGTCGCTTTTGGCAGAAAGGTTGTTTTGTTTTTGTTTTTCTCTTTGAGAAGTCTGCTGAACTGGATCAAATCCTGGTGACAGACTCAAAAGTAAAATACGATTCATTCAAAGACAATATTTACTTCCATTTAGTTGCTAAAAATCACAAGTAGTTTATCAGTTTTCCAACCTTTAAACATATTTTTATATCTATTATTGATATCAAATCTCCTGGCACAACACACAGAGTGTGTTAATAAATAACATCCAGAATCAGATAATTTCATATATATTTACTATAAAAATGTAGGACTTGTCCAACTATGTTATTTTAATGCCACCTGTGACAATAACTTCCCAGGAAAAGGAGGTAATGTTGTGGCAGAAGCTGCTGCAGCCATGACCCAAACCGTGCAGAATGAGGACGGGTGGTTTGCAGAATCTTACATTGGTGACGACAATCTTCCCATCTTCAGACAAATGCCTCTCCTTGTACCCCGAAGACAGGAGATCGCTGGGACAGAGAATAAGACAAAAACCAGTTTAAACACGTTTTATAGTACACCCGTGCTGTTATTCTGAGCCACAGAGACGAGAGGATTCCCAGAAAACACACAATCAGTCTCATCCAGACTTCAGACAAATGCACCGTGGCTTAAGGGAAGGTCAGAAAGGAGAGAAGAAGCAGGAAAGGCAAAACAAGCAGCAGAAAGAAAATAAATTGAGAGGCTAGAGGAGAGAAAGAGGGTCCTGTGTGTGCTTTCTCAGCAGAGCTGGACCCAAGAATCCCGGTGGAGACCCACACTGCAGGTCCAGCCTGAGACAGAGATGGATGAGCTTTACTGAGCATGCACAGAGTCTCCGACACACACACACACATACACACACACACACTGCAACAGATAATTGTCAAAACTGTGTGTGCGGCGTGGTTCTCGATTGGAAAGAAGTGGGTTTCCAGCTTTAGTTGGACGTAGAAAGGTGTAGCCCAGGTGTAGGAGCTTAGGGTGTTTCTCAATGCCAAGGAACCTCGCCTTGATGCCTTGGCCCCGCCCCGGTTGCCTTGGAGATACGTCATCAGGAGCCACCAAGACTTGTTCCAATGTTCATGTTCTACCGAGGCGTGTGTTCTCCGTTTGTTAGCCGTTTAGCTAGCAAGCAAGGATACACGGGAGGTGTCTTGTAGCCTAGCCTTGGTCAAAAATTACCCAGAATCCACCGCGGTATATTTAAAAGAATGGCGGATCAGCAGCCGACAACTACTTTGGTGGCAAATGTCAAAGTTTAAATGTCAACTAATTTAAAATGTTTTTTTAATCCAAAGCAGTTATCTATGGTTGGTTAGTTGCAGCTTCAGTGGCTAGCGGGTAGTAACTCACTTAAATATTTACTTTAACCCTCTGGAGGCAGGCGTTGCAGATCTGCAACGTTAAAACCTGCCTGGTTACTCCACATACGTGTTTCATGAGCATTTTTTAACTCAGAAGTTCCCCTGAAGGGTAAAACTCATTACCATTATTCATATTGACACTAATACGTATAAAATATAACATTATCTCCTGTGTCATGTGACGTTACGTGATTGCCGTGGAAGCCGCGGTCACAGTGGCGGGTTTACCATTAGGCATAGGTCGGCGGCCGCCTGGGGCCCCCTTATGTTGGGGGGGGGGGGGGGGGGGTCTAGCCCTAGCCCTGACTGCTGGCACCCCTCTGTTAATGCACAAACAGGAAGTGATTGGTAGTCATTCCACTCCAGTCCAGTTGGTGGCGGTAACGCACCAAATTGTTGTTTGCCAAGTGCCACAAGACCACAAATAAGAAGACGAAGAGAAAGCAGAAGAAGAGAGGCGGGAGCGTTCGTAAGAAACTCGAAGCGATAGTCAAAACATTAAGCATGAAATCTCCTAGTGGCTCCAATAAGATAAAGACGCAGCTTGCTTTAAAAAAGCTTTTATCTTCACTTCCAAAAGTGACGTCGTTTTTCTACGTAAACATCAAAAGGAAGCAGAAAAGGAAAGAAAATGGAAAATGTTTAAAGGGAGGAAAACAGACCAAAATGGAAAATAGAAAAAAATAATAATAATAACAAAGGCAAAAGCACAGGAGCACTGACAGGAAGAAGGAAGCACTCAAAGGGAGAGAAAGACAGGAAAAAGAGGAGGACTAATAAAAAATAACTCGTGTCAGAATAGGGGAGAGTTTCGCAAATCCAGTCAAAGATAAGATTGTCGAAAATTTTGTGTATGGGGGGGCCATGTCTGCGTTCGCCTTGGGGCACCAAAATGCTAAATCCGCCACTGCGCGGTCATGTGATACAAGTCTGTTCCATTCAACAGTTTTATTTGACCAAGGAAGGACAGTGTCCTATAAGCAAGGCACCTTGGCATTGAGAAACACCCTTGATTCACCCTGCACCCAGTGTGTGTGTGTGTGTGTGTGTCACGGTGGATGGCTGCTTATACTGAGCCAGGATCCTCTGGAGGTTTCCTCCTGTTAAAATGGATTTTTCCTCTCCACTGTCGCTATATGCTTGCTTAGTATGAGGATTGCATCAAGTCACTGACACTAGTCAGTGACTTGATGCACTCTGCTGGATTCCTTATATAGGAAACATTTTTTCTGATTGGCTTAATGAACTGACCTGTACTGGAATGTTTATTACGTGAAGTGCCTTGAGACGACTCTTGTCGTAATTTGGCGCTATATAAATAAACTTGAATTGAATGTGAATCAACAAATCCCTCGATTTTTGAAGTTACAGAGGAAGAAAAAGTTTTCTGAGATGATTTACTGGAGTCAAACGCCAACATAAAGTGCACTCATGCAGTGGGCGAGGCTCCTCTACGCTCACTAATGGGCCGCTTTGCTGTTGCAATAAAAGTGAGTGGATGAAGAGGAGATCAAATGGAAAGAAAGGAAGAACAACCATCAGTAGAACGGCACAGGGAGTGGGGCTGTGAAATTTAGGAGATCAAGGTGTGACTATAAAGCTTTAAGGGACCCAAACAAATACCTGTTGTCAGGCTAAAATCCTAATACACACACTTTACGTCTGCAAATGTACCTCAGCGGCAACATTTCAGCAGCATGAAGAGCCATGGAGACATCCGCACATAGATATGTATATGATCACATGTTTATATGTGTTTATATACATATCTATGCATCCACACACGTGTGATGAAGACATTTGGTTTCATCCTGCTGGGATGTGTGTAAGATTCAGAGCCGGTGAGCTTTATCATGATTCACCCTGCACCCAGTGTGTGTGTGTGTGTGTGTGTGTGTGTGTGTGTGTGTGTGTGCGTGCGTGCGTGCGTGCGTGCGTGTGTGTGGCATCAGCGCAGACACACCAGGGCTCTAATGGAGGGCACTGATAACAGATTTCAGCTTTAATTGTTGTGGGATTTAAATAATTTACTTGACAGAGACGCAAAGTAAGCCAGGGCCCCCCCCCCCCCCCCCCCCCCCCCCCACACACACACACACACCCCTCCCATTCTTGTTAACACACACAAGCACAAAAGGCATCTATGTAAATTTACTATGCAGTCATATAACATCACGTTATAACTAATATAGAGACATTTTAGTCTATATTTTTTAATAGGTAGCAATTTTCAACATGAATTCATTTCAAATTAAAACACTTTTGGCAGAAAAAGTCAGTCCAAACACAGGAGAGATGAATTATTTTTCTTCCGTTTTCTGGAACTCTGCTGGCTTTTGTTTAAATGGAGGGTTTGCAGGGAAAGTGTTTGCTCTGGTTTTTAGTTCCTTTGAGTTTTGACATGTGTTTAAATACAAAACGACAACATTTGGAATAATCAGGTTTATGGAGAAGATGCTATATTAGTTGGGTGTGTTTTGAAAACTGCATCTGCTGACAACCCTTTCAAAGATGACAGTGAGCTTCTCGGATTGTCCAACAGCATCTCCAAGACATCAGACAAAGGGATTCAAATCTGTGTTAGTTCTGTTAAAGTTCTGTTAAAAACATAAAGATCATCTGTTTGCACAATTAAAGTGAAAAAGTCCACGTGACAAGTGTAACGAGTCGATATGTTAAAGCTGCAACGAGAAATTAAAAAAACAAAAGAACTTAAAACTGAGATCTAACTTTCTAATGAACCTTTCAAAATAAAAGCTCTGTACATTCTAAGCCTTAGAAAGCGGTAAGGGACAATTTAAGGTTGGAGTGTTGCCGTCTGTGGGTCAGCCTCAGGAACATCCTCTGGGCCCAAATAACAGCTGGATGCCCGTTTTCTAACAGATGTTGAGGTTCAGTCGGCCCAGTAATGTTGTGATGCTTCATCATGAACATAATCAAATTTATTTTCCTACATGAAGTTAGTTCATTATTTTGTATGTTGTTACAGATCTAGAGGAGTTGTAATGTGGAGCTGGCTGGTCAGAGGACTCAGAGTCAGACAAGCCCCCATAATTCAGGTCTGGAAATGAAACAAAACAGGAAGTGGGGAAAATTGCAGTTCCACCCTCATCCACTAGGGGCTGGTGTCAGAAGCGAGCAAATCCTCATTGACTCCCATGTTAAAAATACCAATTTCACAGCAGAAATAAACATGTTTACAGCCTGGTACCAGAACACGTTTTTGGTTTAAATGATCTAGTTTACACTCATGACAACTCTGAGGGGGGTGAATGTTTTTCTCACTCTTCTGTTTAAGTGTATTAAAAGCCTAAAATTCTGTATAATTAATGAGCATCAGACCCACGTGACCACAGAGCTAGCTCCGGGGAAAGGCCTCAGTAGAGCCTCGGTCTGGCCTGGAAACTGTTGCGCCATTTTAAGTCTCTCAACTTAGACCATTAGTTGTAGCGTTTGTGCGTTCTTTTTGGATATTATTTGTGCAATTATTGGACAAAATGACTTGCTGTGGCATTAATTGCACTAATAGAGCGTCCAAGGAGTCTCCACTTCATTTTTTTCGGTAAGTAAAATTATATTTATGTATTTTAGGTCACTGCCGAGCTGAGCTTAGATTTTAACATGTACTGTTTAACCATGAAATTTAAATGTAATAGGGTAAAACCCAGTGCATTTAACATAATGCTGCACTTTAGAAAATGGGTTGAAATATAACATGTTGGTGGAGCTGGGTTCCCACTATCGGTACGGTCCCCTCCCCTCAGCGGTCAGCTCGGCGCATCTCTGACTCCGAAGCTCCGGTGTTGTGCACAGTTAACTCTGGTTGTAGCTAGGTAGCTACCTCCGTTAGCTTAGCTCCCACCTCCGCGTTAGCTTTGGGTTAGCTTGTAGCTACATCACTTCAGTTCGACGGGTGTCGTCATTTGATCCCAGCCTTACAGCTCCACCCTCATCTCCACCTCTTTCCCCTTTTATGGAATTGTCTGGGTTTGACTAAACCTGTGACACGGTCAAAATGGCGGTGGTGGGAACCTCCCATTTTGGGTCCAAAACTTATAATTGGAGCCTACGGACACGAATTGTCCAGTATATATGTCGATGGTCCAAACACTAGTGGCTCTAGT